AAACAAAAATACCTGATAAAATCTAATTTAGAGAAGCACCACAATATGCAAAAAGTATGCAGGTTTATTTTGATCTTCTCCGTGGCCGCCCACGTTTCTTTATTGGCTGTATAGGTGGATGTAAATTTTCTTTCTCCCCCTGCACTAATACTGCTCCAATAGCATAATTACTCGCGTCTGTTTTAATAATAAAAGGTTTTGTTTTGCCCAGGTGTTGCACATCCACTGATGATAATTCAATGCATGGAAACATATCCTGTGAGTGGGGGGACAATGTTACTTCTGTATTAGTTATTGCTTGTTCCGCATCACGATACAACAAGTCCAATACCGGAGAGTATCCTATAAATGCGTCAGTTTTAATTTTCTTTGAAGGTGTAGATGCCATCGGTATTAAAGGGCCATAAGGTCGACATAAACTTTTTTCGGTAGCGCTAGGTTCAGGTGGATTAGGTTCATTTAAATCATGAAAAACAACCGGCGATAGTTGAACTGCATCTTCATGAAAAGTAACGAAATCTTCCCTATAGAGTTCGTAAGTTTGATCACTATCAATGAATTGCCAAGTATACTGAGGTAAATTTAGAATTATACCTGCATCTTGTATAAAACCTACCCCCAATAAAGTACGGTTATTTCGGGCTTCCGGAAGCACTAGGAAAGTAGTTATAATTGTACGATCGCAAAGAGTAATAGGAACATCAACAGTCAGAACACATTGCTTTCTCCTAACACCATCAGCTAAAGTAACAATAACTTGACTATTTAGAAATTTGTAACCTTTATCCTTAAGTTTGCAATATAAACTATAGGATGCTACGCTAGATTTAGCACAAGTATCTATGTGAGCTATACCCTGAATACCATCAATCTTAATGAAAACAACTGGTCTTGGTCTAGCATCAGTCTTGACATTTAGAGAACAAAATCCGATGTCTCCTGTCATAGGTTCACTTTTTGTTTTGTGGCAGTTGGGACAGTTACTTCTAACAACACCAGGTGTTCCACATCCATAACAGGAGTATCTTGGGGTAGATGGAGAAGGTATTTGAACTTTTGCTTCGGCTGTCTTGGCGATGGGTGGTTCCATAGGTCTCAATGTAGGATGTTGTTTAAGTCTTTTCAAACAGTCTTCGAAGGAATGCCCTGGTAGTCTACAAAATTTACATCGACTTCTAACTTGCTTCAAAGGTTTCTGTTGGGGTTTAAACACTTCTGTAATTTCTTCACGAATTTTTTCGACCCCACGGGCTGCTTCCAATAGCTCATCATATGTTTTGACTGATTCGCGTGGGATCTTTTCTCGGATGTTGATCGTAAGCTGTCCGTACAACATGTCGAGTTGTTGTGCTTCACTGTGAGGAGGGGCGGGTAGTAAAGAAAACAGCATTCTTTTACGTGCAATATAAGTCTCTGTAGACTGTGAGCCTTGCTTTTCTTGCATAATTTCTTGATAAATTATGTAGGCTGGTTTTTTAGGAGCAAATGCATGACGGAAGCAATTTTCAAATTCTGCCCACTTATGAATGGTATTTTTTATACCCTGCCACCAAATGCTAGCTTCTTTTTTCAAAATTAGAGGCATTCCTAGAAGTGCCTCTTCGTCGCTTATTTTTTCAACACGCTTAAAAACGTTAACGGTTGCTAAGAATGTTTCGACAGTTTCCGATTTTCTCGTGCCATCGAAGGAAGCGGGGCAAGAGGTAAAAGTAGCGCCCCCCGTTCTCGGCATCGATAGTGTTGATAACAATTTGTCAAATTGGTCTTCTGTAAATGTAACTGCCATAGCTTTTGGTTTCGGTTTTGGCTTTGGGTTCTTCAAATCTTTACTTTTTGATATTACTTTGTATGAAGGGCCGGATCCACGACGACTCGTAATTGTAGTCTCTGTGTCGGCGTTCTCGTCTTTTATCATTGGTAAAGGTCGTCAAAAGTTGAAGCCACGAGTTGAGGCGCCAATTATAACAGCTGGTGTTTGTGATTGTAAGAATGAAACGCAAAAACTCCTTATTACGATCTATAATAATCGATACAGGACTAACCAATACAACAATATGCTTATTTCGCGACTGGGTGTTAGTGGTCCGTAAGTTCCAGTGCAGGATGCAAACGTACGCACTTACAACATTAGTGGTATAAGCTTAATTTAATAAAATAATTTCTTAACACTAGTACTTTACGAAAAAGGAAGATATACCGCGATTCACAATGGTACAGCGCCATCTATCGAAAATAAGAGTAAGCAATGTATTTGACTGCGATTGTTCTATATTATTTATGTAATAATTTACTATATTGGTGTTACAGTAGTATTTAGAGATACTGTTTTTCTGCATTTTATAATATACTGAAATATGTTAAATGGGCCACTGGCTCCGTGATAGTTAAATTAATTTTGTTATTTGTAATATGAAAATAAAATCTTTGAACATAAAATTAGCTGAAGGTGACAGATGTACAGACAAACAACCGAAACATGTATGGGTTCCGTTTTTCCTTTTGAGGTGAGGAATTCTCAATACAAGGATTTTATTTCTTGCTACAATTGTGGGAATATTACATTTTTTCACTGTGTTACAATTTGCCTGTTCAACAAAATGCGTTAATAATTCAGTGTACACGAACGAAAGAAGAATTCATCGATTAATAATATCAAATCGGTTTCACAATTTTAAAAATAAACCAAATTAATAATCTGCATAATTTCAACAACTTAAACGCCTTGTAAACGGGATTATGTTCAGGAATGAATAATAAATTAATTATTCATTTGCGATGCGAACTGATTTCGTTGGAGCTTCACGCTGAATAGCGGTAGGCTGTCATGTTCACTCGCCTTCGATCTCGAGTCGAGTGGCAGCCATGTTCAATCAATTTTGGCGCGAATCCGCCATACCATCGACGCTTTATTGGTTTTAATTTATTTGAAAAGACAATTTAAAAGGATTTTTTATTAAATTACTAGACTTCGTCCATGTTAATTAGAATTATATCAACGAGAAGAGTTTTAGTGCGATCAAATGATTTAATACAAGATTTTAACGTTTTGACTTTACATTTCTGTCCTGTTTTTCAATTGGCGTAACGTAACATAACAAATTAAATGTAATAATGTATGAGGTATGTTTTATAAGTCGGTGTTACACATATAAATGTGGTGTTTTAAATTAATATGGTCATTAACATTAGAATAATTGCTAAAACGGGATTACTACCTACTGCAAGTGATTGCAGGCGCTATGATCACGTGATCATTGCCCTTCTTCACATCAACAGAGTCGATGTAAATGGAACTTAATTAAAACAAGGTACATGGTTGTTATTCCGTTTCTAGCAATCATTCCGGTATTATATAATTGAATCTCTAAGCACATTTTGCACAGCATTGTTCTCAACGTTGCGGTTCGACGCTGATTATTTTACAAAATAACAAAACGCACAGAATCTTGTCAGGAGTAATAATAATCCCTAATTTCGATTAAAATCACCATGCCTGAAAAAAAGGCTGAAAATATCTTGTCTACTTAATCCTTCCTCCTTATAAATATATTAGTGAAAGTAACTCGGTCTGTCTATATGTTAACCACTGCACCAAGATCTTTGATATAAAAAGAATTTGAAACCCTGAAGACAGTTATAATCGAATTCAAAAAAAAGGAGGCTTTCTCATTTCGACTGGATTTATGTTTCTGTTTGTTTGGATATATTTTTTTATTGAGTGGACCTTTTTTGATGATTTTTTTTTATTTAAAAGCTAGTGCTTGTCGTGTGGTCCCATTTAAATTTGGTCCAAATCTGGCAAAGGCATCTATAAGAAAACAATATAAGTCTTAAAGTTGCATTAAGTATATGTGATGTTTGTTATCCCAAAACTCAAAATATCACTAAAATGCAAGGAATAAAAACTTTTTTAAAATGGAACCGACTTCAAATATTTTTTTTAAAGTATATATTTATCTTAAATAAATAATCCATATAGGAGTTTAAAAACAGGCAGAAGATTGTACGGGCAGTCATTCATTTGCTTTTTAATAAATTTATTCATGATACAATTTTTTTCATGTAAGTTTACCACTTAATAAATTTTATGTAGTTATTAATAATTTAAATTATAATGAAGAATATTAAATACCTCCTAATTCAGTCGATCTACCAGAATATGTTAACACTACCTTTATATAATAAAGTAAATTATATCAAATATAAAATTTCAAAAATCAGAAAATGGAATGAGTAACGCCCATAATTAAGTTTTCTATTTCCGCCTTAATTCCATACGCTGTCTCTGGTATATATACCATAGAGTTAATAATTAAATTTTATCTTCACGCTTGACTGAGCGTGCGGGTGTGAGACGAGTCAGCCTTCGGAAGCAAACGGTCGTTGCTTTTGATAATTTCGTTCAGATACTGAAATGATGTACTATACTTTATTGTGATGTTCGTTAAGTTTCATTTACATACTTAGTAAACGTTTAGCATGTCATCACATGCTTCTTAAATTTTTATGACTTCTTTCGAGAACTTCTCATTTTGCACTGATCGTACGATATTTTTTTGTTGTATGAGTATATATCGTGTATGTTAAATTGCAATAATTTACTCGGTCACAATTAATTTATGATAAGCGCCCGCGTCGTCGTGCTTATTTCGTCCATAACTCATACGAATTAACATGACCTATTTTATTTGTCCTCGAACGAAAAATTTCAAATGGTTCTTATAATTTAGTTAAAATCATACCTGTGCTTCAGAAGCAGTGTCAGGTTCTGTTCCGTTGCATCGAAAAACTCATTTATTTGGAGTCGCTTTAGCATTTCGGAAATAAACGATATTTCGCTTTCGGAAACAGAATAAGCCTTTAGATGTCATGTTAATTCGTACGAGAAGTATATGTATCTCTTCGTCTCATGTGCGGAACCTCAATTTACTAATACTCAATTAATGTAATAACGGGGTAAAGGATATAAAAGTAACAAATTAATATTGTACATTCCGCAGTGCCAATAATTCCGGAGTTCCTGTACGACATCAGACACCCTGACGCCCCTCTGTCCATGTCCTTGGACGAGATCACCACCACGCCGCCCCCCGCCGTCCCCTTCTGCCCCTGCGAGAGGAACACCACTTATCCACCTCTGGAGAACGTGACGCAAGGTGAGGAACTATTTTCGTCAATGAATCATCTCCAGAACAATTCTTTAACTCATTTCCGAACCGATTCCTTCAATCAGATCCCAAAAAATTCCTTAAATCACATCCGAAACAATACTTTAAATCAAATCCAAATAATGTCTTGAATCACATCCGAAACAAGCCCGCAGCAGTCAATGAATAACATACGGCAGATTATGAAGATTATATATTGTTTTCTCAGTGAATATAACCGCGGAGAAGGAAGTAAGACACCAGGAGCTCATACATGAAACTGTTGCAGTGGGCGTGATGTTTGCTAGTAAAGCTATCGTACAGTTATTAGCTAATCCCTTCGTTGGACCTCTCACACACAAGTAAGGGACAATTAATTTAATTTATAATTATAAGCTTCTCTGACAGATTTGACTGCTAATGAAAAGGTCGTATAAAATATATACTATGAACAAAGAGGTGATACTCTTGCATATGACTCCCAAAGCTGTCACAACCATGGAATAAGCAAAAAATTGTAGGGGTAGAGTAGAGCGTGATCCTGCGAGCTATAACTTGGTTTCCCGTGAGGCACTTACTCATTCGCTTGAGTTCCCATATCAGTCTTCATGGGTGTTCTTCTTGTTACAAACAGGGAACAAGCAAAAATAGTGGGGGAGAGTAGGGCGCGGTCCTGCGAACTATAATTTGGTGGCCGGTGAGGCACTTGCTCATTCGCTTGAGTTCCCTTATCAGTCTTCATAAGTGGTGTTTAGGAGGAGCTGATGTTAAGCTGGATTCCCAAGTTCGGTAAACTGGCTGACGGGCACAGATAGATTTCCGGAAAGATCTGTGGTAACGCAGACAAATATGTCGCTGGGAGCGAAGACGAGCATGCCCATACGCGGCCCGAACAGCGATGGGAAAGGTATTTAGATCAGAATGTCGTCCGCAACCCGAGTCTGTCTGAAGTGCCTTAGATGAAGTGAGTTCATAACTTCGTATTTCAACTTTTTATGTCTAACTACGACCAATAATGTAGAGAACATTTTTGTTACTAAACAATTTACCGACCTTTTCATTTCTCAATATTTTTCATGCATTTAATCTTTAATATATTTTTTTTTTATTATTGCAGAATCGGCTACAGTGTCCCCATGTTCACCGGCTTCATACTTATGTTTCTGTCTACGCTGAGTAAGTAATTATATTTAATTCAGATTCTCCAATTTCAAATGAAATTGTCTTTGTCAAAAAGAATTTTGCAGCATTTTTTTTTCTTAATCAATAACAGTCTTATTAATAAAACAAGGTTTAGCGTTAGAGTAAATTTACACTGAGACTGCACTTAGTATTAGTCAAAAGTCATATTATTAAATAGAGACTTAGTAAAAGTTAAACTAGTACTAGTTACTATTAGTACTAGTACGGGAGTAATATTTACTCCTAGAAGGTACTAGGTTTCCTTATTCTCTGTATAATATGAATTTGGACTAATACTAAAAATTGCAATTTTAGCGTAAATTTACTCTGACGCCTAATCCTGTTTAATAATAGCACTGCGAAATTTAATTCTTATTGACAACCACATGAATTTCAATATTTTAAATTACCTGCGCAGTCATATGAGACTAATTTTAGTTTAAATTATTCATTAGTATCGGAAGTAAGATTTAATTGATTAGCAAAGCAAAGTAAATTCAACTCCGAAGTTAAAATATAATTAAACTTTCCAATTTTATCAATAAAATTATTAAACACGTCAGCAACAGTACGACATTGCGTGACCAAAGCGTTCTATTGTGCCTAACTAATACTTGCGATTAGAGCTAGTTTTAAGTCAATTGTAAATGTTCTTAATTGGAGGTTTTATTGTATTTACGTGGTATTGTACTGTTTTTGAAGCTATATAACTTCTGTTTCATCAGAAATATTATCTTATAATGATAATTATATATGACTTTGGGATTTAAATACGTTATTCGGATACAGTTTTCGCATTCGGCCGGTCCTATGGTGTGCTGTTCGTTGCGCGCGCTCTTCAAGGCATCGGGTCGTCATGTTCGTCCGTGTCTGGAATGGGGATGTTAGCTGAGAGATATCCGGATGACAAGGTTAGTTTACTAATCAGTCTCAAGTTTAAGCGCTACGGCCCGCGATCTTTGTCGTTAAGCAACTTTCGCAAGGGTCGGTCACGGGATAGGTGACCAAAAAAATATTATCTCGAGCTGCTCCGTGTCCGTTAAGCCGTTGGTCCCGGCGGCATTTGCAGTCGTTAATAAAAGGGCTGAAGATGAATGATGCACTTATCTCAACTACCAAACTTAATATATATAGGTTAAAAACATATATGTTAAAATATGCATAACCCTGAGGCAGATTTGAAACAAACATTTACCAAGATGTGCGCTGTGGCTATAATCAGACATACAGTATCGACATAAATAGAGTAGTGATTAATATAGTATGAAATGTACACAGTAAACAGTATTCGCATATAAACACTTATCTGCTATATTTGCATAAAAATATAATTCAATTAGGGAATAATCGGAGAAAACTAACAGACTGTTGTTACCTTAGGAATCTCATCAAACCATTCTTTACTCAAACGTTGTTTGAAATGATTTGGTTCACTATTAAAAATGTCAAACGCGGAATCCAACCAAATTTTGAAAACCTTTTGCTGAGCGTACAATGGATGATTTTTCCCTTTAATTTGGGTTACAAAGCGGGTCACTGAGACTGTTTTGGTGCCTTGTATCTTTTGTTACAGAACTTACACTATATAAATAAAAAATAATTTCCTGTATATTTTATTTTACAATTACTTGATCCCGCCATCAATGGTAAAGCTGCAATTTCTATCGCGCACGAGAAATGCATCTGATTAAATATATTCAATGTGATTAAGGCTTTATTGAATGCAACATTACTGGTATCGTTTAACTCATGATGCCAGACGTTGTATTTGCTGAAATAATTTAATTAATCGTAAGCGGTAATTTCAATTTCAATTCTCTCTTTGTACATCCTTGACATAAAAAAGAGATATTAATTTTTTTTTTGTAATATGTTAATTTGTTAAATTAACTATTGAATAAATTAGATATAAGTAGTCCTATGTTGTAAATAAACTATATGATAATACACAATTAAAAATAATAACACATTAAAATATTATTAAATATGTGACATTTTAAATTCAGTGATGGGATCACTGCACTAAAAAAGGTGACTAGTTCTGTAATTGTCATTAGTTAAAAAAATTATCTCTAACGAAAAAATTATCAATTACGTATCTGTCGATGCTGTTTATATGGCTTCCCATCAAATTCCCAAAAAATATATTTAAATTTATGTATTTTTTTTACAATTAAAATATGCTCAACATACATTTTTATTTTATTCACACAATCTCCCTTTAATCTAAACAATTTAAAATATTAAATATTCTATCCAAATAATAAACGATCATATTTAACATGCTACGAGAATAACAGCCAGTTGCACTTACGCCCATTAAAATTGTCATTAGTTTAAAAAATATTATCCATACGAATTCGAAATTCATTAGAGCTTATATTATAGGCGTCATTAAACCTTAATGAACGTTTGTGCAACTGACCGTGAAACGTTAACACGTCCATTAACATTCGCATCCACATACTGACTGCAAGATCGGCATCGCGCGCGATTTTATTAAACATACTGAGAGAATAAATCATTCACGCGTGCATTAGCGTTTACACCGATTAAGGAGTAAAATTTTGGACTATAAATTGGACTTCAGGTAGATGAATGATAACAAGTAGTTGAGATTCCATTGACATGTGATTATTACGTAAACATTTTTTTATTTACTTTCAATAAAAAGATAAAATTATGGTAAGGACAGCGCTATCTAGAAATTATTACTTAATTATTATTACGTTGAATTGGGCTGCAGAACGTTAGATGACACTGTTCTTACCTGATTGGTGTCTTTTAATTTATAAAATAATATGTGCACTCAATGTGTCTATTTTATAAACATACGGCTGCATGTCAGATTACCACAATATTTAAAATTTCTCCAGTTGATTTAAAACTCTATACTCATTTTATTAAGATTTAAAATCTACTGGTAAAATTGGAATAACTAAAATTTTTAGGGCAAGAAAATTTTAAAGCAAGTGTTAATTTCTCCGAAATATTATTTTAAAGCTTATTAAAATAAAATAAATACTAATACATATTGTTTGAAAAGTAGATTACTTTAATTAAAGAAGTTAAAGATAAAAATAATTATAAAAAATTGGACTCAGAAATTTAATAACTTGCATTTGAGTTCGACCGAGGATTCGATGCCTGATTTTAACCACTCGATTCAATGACTTCAACGTATTTATAATTTTGTAGATTGTCTAAAATATGTCGATTTTTATTGAAGGTGCCAGGAAAGACATTCCGAATGGGTACATAATAAAAAGCAAATGAAAATTCCAAACATTTAATAAGGAAATTCTGAAAACAGCAATAAGATGTTATTTTGAACAAACTAATGTCTTAACCACAGCATGGATTGCAAAGGGGTGCGCATGGATTACATGGAGCTAAGCAAGGGTTGCTGGGGTTGCAGGGGTTGCAAGGGTTGCAAGGGTTACAAGGGTTGCAGGGGTTGCAAGGATTGCAAGAGTTGTAAGGGTTACAAGGGTTACAAGGGTTGCATGGGTTACAAGGGTTGCAAGGGTCAGAGAGAGCTAGACAAGGATTACATGGGCTACAGGGGTCACCGGGGGCTAGGCAAGGATTGCATGGGTTACAGGGGTCACATGGGGATACGCAAGGGTTGCATGGATTACAGATGGTAAGGCAAGGGTTACATGGGCTACATGGGTTACACGGATTACAGGGGTTGCATAGGTTACAGGGGTTACAGGGGTTACAGGGGTTGCATAGGTTGCAGGGATTACAGGCTGGGCAGGGAGGGGCACAGACGCAAGGTGCCAGGCATCCACACGGCGTGCAGCTCGTCAGGCATGGACAGGGAGTGCAAAGGCGGCTGCAACCCTGGCTGCTGATGCAGACGGTGGAGTCGTCACATTTCTTGAAGCACGTCCACGGCGCCGCGGCCGCATATGTGATGATAGCTGCCGATTTATACAATTTAATACATTATAATAAGGAATCACATAGCACCCTTCGTCAACATCAGTGTATTATTGTCCCCATGAAGGACACCAATCTTTAATCTGAATGGAATCGAATATAGAGAATGGATAGCCCAGCATGCGTACCGAATGCGGATTGATGGTTGTCAACCTGCCGCTTATATACAAGGTCTTCCAATGTAGATTTCCGAACCGACAAACCAACCTTGATTTTAATTTGAACTTGAAAAAATCTATTCGCTCATTTGCTTGAAGAATATTTTCATATCATATACTAAATAATCTCAAAGGGCTTCTGGTAGAGGATCAGGGTAGATCCCGTGTTATTACAATATACACAAATAATATATAGTAATAATATTTGTACAATGTAACTAACACCAAGTTGCACAAAGATCCATTAAGGTTTAATTCTACTCTCTAATGAATGTTATTACTTCAAAAAATTTTGTCGGTAATGTCACTTTAAACAAATGACGATATTAATGGATGCTTGTGCAACTGGGTGTCAGTGTACTAGTATTATAAGGAGGTAAGGTATATTATAGATATTGAGTATTGAAATTTCCAAGCTTAAAATATATTTTTTTTAAATACTATTAAATATATTATAATTAGTAGTATTTTAGATAATATACCTAATAATGATTCAATTACTATTGTTAACCGATCTTGATTGTTTGTCTAGATATTTAGGCCAGGGAATTGTTAACATCTATACGTCAAAAAGAAACAAATCTTACTTACTTATATTAAATCAATAATTTATGTATCTCAAAAGTTTTTGAAAATATCTATCATCTACATTTATCAGGGATAATGTACGATCCTAATGGTAAAATATTTTCCAGTATCCAGTAGTTTCGAAGCCTATTCAATGCAAATAATTAAAAATTTCCTCTGTATAACAAAAGCATAGATGTTATCATATCTATCTCCTTGTTATGTTAATATCAAACTGAAATCAACGCAATATTCTTTAATGCAAACAATTGCACCTTTTAAAACACACTTAACGCCATCAAGTTTAGCAAAGCTAAAAGTTTTTACAACTAAATTCAATCTATAAGTTAGATATGATATCTAGTTGTAAGTTATATATATAAACCATAGATTTATTATCTATGGTTGTAACACAATTAAGTAAAATTTATTTAATAGTGTTTTAATTGTGCAATGTGTAAATATATTTTCTTTCTTCTTTCTTTTTTAAAACTTGACATATATTTTAAATAATACTTACCGAATAGAACTATTACTTGTTTAGCCACCATGATTCTGATATAACTTGACTTTGAAACCTCAGTTTATATACTGCTAAATTTAAATTATCGATAAGTTTACATATGCATCGATGATTAGAAAATTGACTTTACTGTGAAATATTTTTATCTTTATTTGAGTTTAATTCAATTATTATTTTAATATACTTATTATAAACTTTCTGCTTTTGTATTCAAAACCATAGTTTGAAATAATGATAATGTTATTTAATAGCTGACGTTATGACCACTCACTTTTCACTTTCCCGTGCAGGCCCCCGTTTTTCACCTTTTATCACTCGTTTTGGTGTTGTCTAAACCACTGTTCAATGACTTGTAATTAAAAATATGGATAAAAGAAAGCAATCTGATCAAAAAATCCTTTAGAGATAAACGACGAGGTACGACATAGAAAACAAAGTGACTATAAAAAAATATATTATACTTTGAAAAACTTATTTTTGTGTAAGAATAATAAATAGTGGTATATGTCCAGAAAATAAGTATGCCAAGCACATATACTTGTTATGTTATACGGCGGACTTTTCCGCAACTCGACATCTTGTGCCTATTTTGCGTGAATAATGAGGTTGCATCAGTCCTGCCACCCCAGGTCCTCCGAGAAGCCCATAAGTCCTTTAACTTTGCCGCATGCCTCCTTTAATGTCTGTGGACTATCTATATGTGTACCTAGTCCTATGTTCTATGCCCCTGTATATCAGTAGCACACGAGCGCTTGTTTTTCAGCATCCAGGCATGCCCTGCACAGAGAACTGTCAGAGATACCCATGTTATAAAGGTGCTTGTTAAAATAGCCATGTCTAGTTAGTATACCTATTATTAGTCTTAGCGTTTGGCGAGGTAGTTTGTTTAACTTACGTGCTAATTGCAGGTTTATCTTGGGGATTTCTTTGGCTCGCCTGCAGTCAGTCGTTCAAGTTCAGTATTCATCATATTGTCGACAACAGAATTATCTTACCCAGTTCCTCACCTGTTGAAATTGAATGGATATAATGGGTCTCGGTCCGATAGGCTTTCTGCTTGACCCTTCTCTGGCCAAGCTGTCTGCCGCGTCATTACCACTCGACCCGCTGTGCCTCTTGAGCCATTCTAAAGTCAGTTTATTTCTCTTACATACCTCTGTCAATTTACAATTACATTCGAGTATTAGACCTGATGTCATCAAGTTGTTGTTTAAAGTTTGTAATACCCATGCACTGTCAGAGAAAATACGGATATTTTTACCTCTTACTCATCGGCTTGTAATTGTTTCAGCAGCCTCTATTATACCCACGCATTCTGCCTGGAATATTGTGTATAAATTCCAATTCCGTGGATATGTGGATATTTAGATCCTCCGAGTAGACACCAGCACCGCAGTTAGTTTTAGAGCCGTCCGTGGAGATTCTTAGCTCTTTGTGAAGGCAAAAACTTTTCACTTTCGACTCTCAGTGCTGTGAAGTGCGGATTTTCTCGATTTGCGAAGTGTATATGCGTGCTAATTGGGATGTAATGGTATGTTTTTATAACGGTATGATCCCTGTTTCCAGTGTCATATACGTTTCTTGTACACCAATTTTGCATCTCTGTATGCATCCCAGTCCCGGTCATCATATGTGTTCATTACCCTGTTGAATAGTCTTTTAACCTGTGACCTTAGTTGCTGCAGTTCAGGACCCCATGATGAGCTGATACTTATATATATATTCTGACTTTTTTGTGTGGATATTTATAATTTACCTTACTTTAACTATATTTCTACATAAATTGTGTATGAATAGATATAGAGGTATAAAAAAATGTATTGTAAGGATACAAAAAAGAATATCTAGTCTATTTTAATTTATTGCATCTAAACTTATTCACGCTTTAAATTACAGATGAATTTAACTTATTGAAAACCCTTTCCTTCCCTTCGATCGGTTAAAATAAGTACAGGGGACCCCGAGAATACTGTGTTATGTTAGTCTTGGTGCTACTTAAATTTCAGATGATATTTGATTAGAACAGAGATCCGATTTATCTAATCCATCCGAAATTGGAAGCTCGTCTGTTTCCGTAACCCATTCAAATTCAAACCGTTTATTCCAGAGAGCATCTATAATATAAATAACAATTTTTGATATATCAAAACAACTATTAAACAAAGTAGAAAGGTACTCCCAAATTTTAAAGAGTATTTTAGTAAAATTATGTTTCATGTAAATTTAAGTACAGGCATTGTATTGGGGTATAAGTTCGTAACTATTTTATTAGACTTTTATTAAAAAAAATCTCTAATAATAAATTAATAAATTATATAGTTGCCGTTACTGTTTACTATCTCCACTCAACATTAGATCGATTTGTCGACACCGTTCCATTTACTACCCATCTTCTTTTTTATGTAACTGTCCAGTCTAACTTTTGGTTGCCTGGAAGATATTGCTTTTTAGCGATAAGGCCGCCAATTGTACTGTTTATTGTTATTAATTTTTATGTTGATTTTATTTTCAAGTACAATAAAGTGTTCATTCATTCATTCCGTCAAAAATCAGCCGATTGGTACTGAAGATGTTGCTGAACCAGTCTTCTTTATAGCCAAGTATTATGATGGCCCTAGAAAGTGTAATCTTGCAGCAATATCTTCGATCTCGGTATTTGCAAGATTTTAGAAGTCAACTCTCAAGATCTCGCAAATCTAATAATTATTTTTAATCGACTTCAAAATCGCAAAACAGGATAACCTCCTCTTGTATATGTTCCGCCGTCGAACAATTTTTTTTTATATATATATATTCAGTGATTTTTCCGCCAATTGCAGGTAGATTTTCAAAATTCTTGTTTTTGAGAGCCATTAAGAGATGGTCACTAAAATTTTATCGACGAAATCGAATTAGTAGTTTTCTTTTATAATATAACTATAAATTGTTATATGATATTCATCAGATATCACCTAAATATTTTGATGACACGTTAATATCACAATTTACACTGTTTCAAAATCCGAAAGAATGATTTTCTATGTTCAACGGGTATGTATATTTTTTATGTAAGTAAGTATGTTCATCGATTTCCCCTTAGATTGTGAACCTATTTATATCAAACTAAGCTGTTTCCCCGTGACTTCGCCTGCGTAAAATTATAGCCTAAGATTGTGTAGCTTTCCATAGATGAAAGAAATTTATAATCGGTCCAATCGTTTCGGAGCCGTTCCAATGCAAACAAACAAGCAATTAAATCTTTCCTCTTTAAATTATGAATATAGATAGGGAAAAAATATGTCAAGCAAAATCTCCTTTCACTATTTTGACATATTTTTTATATGGATATTTATGATAATGTTACCTATTATAATTACAAAATATCAATATCACTAAAAGCATGAAATAATAACTTAAAAAAAAAGAACAGACTTCAATATTTTTAGTTTAAAGTATTAATCTTAAACGCGACTTATTCAAGAAACTACTATTGAATGCTATTCATCTGTATGTTACTATTAATTATGTGATATCAAATTATGTGTAAGTTTGAAGTCTGTTCTATTTATTGAAAAAAGTTTTTATTTCCATAAGTTTAAACTTGGTAAAAATATTGTTTAAAGGAAAAAAAATCACACATACGAAAATACTTTTTGCATTGTTTTAATCTGGGAAACAAAATATACCTGACGAACTGGTTGACGCGAGCGATGACACTGATGAAGATGTTGCAGGAATGAGAGTCGTATTTTTAGTAAATTTTTTGAATCTTATTGTAAAAAGTATATACAGTTGATTAGATTTTCATTTTCATTTTGTAACTGTGTCACTTATTCAAAAACCATTAATCGACTAGAAACAGACTTTTTTGCTAATAAAAACCACCAGAAATGCTTTGCGTCAAGAAATAAATACTTTGAAGGTATTTGCTATGTTAAAATGTTTATCTATGATTGCTACGCAATGTTGCAAATTGCGCGAGATAGGGTAGTTTTGTTAGTAAATAACAAATCATTGAATTGCACAAAAAATTAAATTTACTCTGGAAAAAAACTGATTTTGTGTCATAAGATCGCGTGATTATCTTCCAAAGTCAAATTTAAAATTCAATATAATTTATTCAGTCTAGGCTGTTACAAACACTTGTTAATGTCGAAAGCTTCGTCATCGGTTCACAAATAAATGGCGGGAGACCTTGTACTGAGAAAAACCGGCAAGAAAGTCAGCAAGGGCTGCTTTCATCTCACTTTCGATTGCAATATCAGAAATAACAAAACAGATATCATTTTCGATACTGATTGATCTGCCGGTTGGCGAGTCATACATACTCATTGAAAATTCAATATGCGGTATTCATAATAAATAAAAATGGTCGAAATTAAGTTGTCCAGAGCAGACTCATCCGCACTGGCAGCACCCGTTCACAAGTATGACGCACGAGCCAGCCATCGCTTCGCTCAACCATGGGTATGTTCCAATATACACTGTGACCACTGAACAGTATGACGTCAATTTAGTATACTGGAAGCCCGTTCCTTTATAGCTAGTTATACTGTTGACTTTTTAAAACGGAACGCAGTCCAGTATACTGTTAATCCTAATTTTTGGCGCTATTTTCAAATTTGTTAATGCAAGGTGAATATAAATATAAAGATTCCCTCTTTTCAAAAGAAAATTGGAAAATTGTATAAAAAAAATATTTATCAATTAAATCCATCTTATAAATAAACGTAAGTATTTCTTTTTTGTTTATTTAGAAACTTATCATTTTCTGATTCTGTTTCGACTGCTCACGTGATCAAAAGCACTGCGAGCACCTTACCTCGAAATCTCCAGTGCTCACAGTAGAAATATGGCGGCAATTTATGATGTCATAAATTTCCCTAGGGTACTGTAGCAGTGTACTGGCAGTCCATAACGGAACGGATTTTTCAGCAGTAAGACCACTGCGCAGTGCTCGCAGTGTATATCGGAACATACCCCATATTTTAGGAAACGTAACAACCCGATGATACTACACTACCGTAGAGATTATTAAGAGAGCGTGTCTAGTCTAGGTACTTACCATAAACTGGGAATTAAGGAAACTAGTTCTAATAAATCTGTCAATAGCTGCAGGACACGGCAATGTAGTACAATGTTAATCACATTAGATTAAAAATGTAACTCCATGCCTTTTTTTTTTCATTTAGATATTGATTTACGCTATAATATCCTTTACATACTTTGTAAACAATTTTTAATACGACTTTTAAGATATTTTATTGGAAAATCTAAGATATCACTGGGAATCTTCTTAAAGTACCTTGACCTTGATCCGTGAATGAATCTTATACCTTCTGTAACCTATAAGAAGACATTACCAGCTTGTTTTTATTTTTAAGTGTTAAATTTGTGTAAGTACATCACTATGCTTGGTATACATATTAATATTATTTCGGTTAAATGTATCCAACTGATATAAATTGAGATGCATTGGTCAATATTTACTTTTACATTAGGTAAAGTGAATTTAATACATTTGATTTTTTAGCAGTTAATAACCTTCAATTGAAGGTTATTAACTGTGAACTTCAACCAAGAGAACACTTGTGAGAGAGTATTGTTTACATCGTCAAAATTATACATATTTCTATAACTGTTGAATGTTAATGAAATATCATCTGCAAACAGCACATTCTCACATTGGTTTTAACAAAAAATGTTAAAGCATTTATTTTAAATAAAATTACAAATGGACCAAAGATAGATCTCGCCCCAAGCCTTATTTTTACATGAGACCCTGACGACTTCGCACAATTTATATCTTTAAATCATAAGTCGAATTATTTTGTCTGTGTATCACGTGACTTCAAACACGACCTGCCTTATGTGACGTCGTCGCTTCGGCAATATATCAGATTTCTAGATCGCTCTGTTCTAATTATAATTATATGTTTTTATTATGTAGCCAGATCGTAATATGAGAATAATGTTTTTGTCCGATTGACGTATTTAATCTATAAAATAATAATATGTACTCAATGCATCTATTTTGTATTCAGACGGCTGCACGTCAGGTCAAATGTCAAGGCCACATCATGTCAAATTTTTCTAGTTGATTTCCTTATCCAAAGTATTAAGGTTTAAAACAAACTGGAAAAATTTAACGGAATTATATTTTTACCTGATATGCTGTTGACAAGTGTAAAAAAAAACTGACGCGCACGAAGGAAGTATAACAATCACACTTCTTATTTTCTATGGAGTTGTTCGAAATTTTCGAGTTTATTACAACTCATAAACTTGTAAAGCCAATTTAAGTCTGATATAATCCTTTAAACTTCGTTATATATAGGTACTACTGCCAAAATATTTGAATTTTATCCAACGTCCGTTTAGTTGGTATAAGGTCAAGTGTCCCCCACTTGAATCTAATGAAAATTAGCTCTTTAAAGCTTAATAACTCACAAATAGTTTACTTAAACAAAAACGGCCTACCTATCCAATGATGAAAAACCTATCCACTTTTTTCATTCACAATTTTACGTAATTAACTCATGCCAAATGACAACTTTCTAGTACCTATAGTTATTGAGCTAAACGCCCAACCGAGCAAACAGACATGGCGAAACTATAAAGGTCCCTTGTTTACTACGAAACCCTAAAAAGTTAAAATTTGATTTAATTTTTTTGGTGGCACGACAATTTTAAAGCAAATGTTTATTCTTCCGAAATATTTTTAAGGCTTATTAAAATAAAAATAAATAATTCTTACAAATACTATTTGAAACGAAGTAAAATACTCTACTGATAATAATAAAAGATAAAAATAATTCTAAACAACTGCATAGGCCGGATCCGTAAATTTAATAAGGTTTAATTGAATGCGGGCGAGGATTTGATACTTGACTTCAATCAAGTCTTCAAAGTATTAATAGTTTTCTCGTGACGACTTTTGTTGAAGGTGCAGGAAAACACATGCCGAATAGGTTTATAAAAAAAAGCAAATGAAAATCTCAAACAATTTAATAAGAAAATTTGAAAACAGCAATAAGACGTTATTGTGAACAACCGAATGTCTTAACCACAGCATGGATTGCATGGGTTGCAAGGGGGTGCGCAAGGATTACAGGAGACTAGGCAAGAGCTGCAGGGGTTGCAAGGGTTGCAGGGGTTGCAAGGGTTGCAGGGGTTGCAAGGATTGCAGGGGTTGCAAAGGTTGCAACAAGGGTTGCACGGATTGCAGGGGTTACAAGGATTACAGGGGTTGCAAGGGTCACAGAGGGTTAGGCAAGGGTTACACGGGTTACAGGGGTCACATGGTACTAGGCAAGGATTACATGGATTACAGGGGTCGCAAGGGTTGCATGGATTACAGGGGGTAAGGCAAGGATTACAGAGGCTACATGGGTTACACGGATTACAGAGGGCTAGGCATGGATTACAGGGGTTGCATGGGTTGCAGGGGTTACATGGGTTGCAGGGGTTGCAGGGGTTGCATGGGTTGCATGGGTTGCATGGGTTGCAGGGGTTGCATGGGTTGCAGGGTGGACAAGGCGGGGCACAGACGCACGGCGTGCAGCTCGTGCAGGGCGTGCAAGGGCGACTACAAACTTGGCCGCTGTAACACCTCCACGGCGCTGCGGCCGCATAAGCGATGAGAGCTGAAAAGTTATGCAATTATATAATATACCTTATAATAAGACGTCACATAGCACCTTTCGTCATCATTAGCGTATTTATTCTCCACATGAAGAGCACAGATCTTTAATATGAATGGAATCGAATATGGAGAATGGATAGCCCAGGATGCGGGCCTAAAGCGGACATGTAGCTGATAATGATCACCGATCTTCCGCTGATAGCTTGATATTAATTTGAGTTTGAAAAAATACATTCAGTTAGCTTATTTATTTGAATAAAATCATCCTATATATTAAATAGGATGATTTTATTCAAATAAATCCTAATCATATCATATATTAAATCATCCTAAAGGGCTTCTGGCAGAGGACCAGGGTAAACCCCGGGAAACTAATAGACATACTTAATAATATATTGCAGTATCTAATATTTGAATACTACTAATTTCTTTAAAATACAAAATTAAATAAGATTGAAATGATATTAATAATATAAAATTAATAATATTAATATATATGTTTAATGTACTAATATAATAATTATTTAATTACTATTTGTAGTCAATCTTGATTGTCTGACTATTTAACGTTGGGAGTTGTCAACATCCATGAGCCAAAAAGACAAACAATCAATTGAAAATTAACCATGAGACATACTTAATTGAATCAACAATTTACGTGACCCCAAAATTTTTGAAAATATTCTGCTACTTTTTAAAATTCACTTAACGCCATTTAATAAAGCAAAGCTAAAAGTTCTTACATTTTTTTAATTAATAAAATATAAATTTTATAACAAATATGCACCTGTTGGTTGTATCTATTAATCATAGATTTATAATTATGTAAAATTTAATTATGCAATGAAATAAATGTATTTTCTTCCTTTCTTAAACTTGAGATATATTTTAAATAATACTGTAATACTTACCGAATAGAACTATTACTTGTTTAGCCACCATGATTCTGATATAACTTGACTTCGAAACCTCAGTTTATATACTGCAAAATTTGTTTAAATTATCGATAAGTTTACATACGCATCGATGATTAGAAAATTGACTTTACTGTGAAATATTTTTATCTTTATTTGAGCTTAGTTTAATTAATATTTTCATATGCTTATTTAAACTTTCTGTTTTTGTATTGAAAACCATAGTTTGAAATAATGATAATGTTATTAAATAGATAGTGTTATTATATGTATTGTCAATCAACTTTTGTTTTTAGAAAATACTATAAGTGTCAGTAAGCTCGCAACAACGTATTATATTATATTAGGGGTTATTTTTGTAATAGGATCCTTGAATTGACATAGACTCTTCATGGTTTGAGGTTTTTTCACATGGTTTCTATGATGTTCTTCTTTTAAAAAATGTGAAACATTTGAATATCGACTACCAATTTTTTTTGTTATTCAACTTAGACAAGAAAGATGGTTAATGCGAAATTTCGAGTGATTTTTGTATACGAGTTCCAACACGAAAGTAACGCGGCAAAACAGCCCGCAATATGAATGTTGCGTTTGGAGAGGGGTCAGCTAATGAACGCACTGTGCGATTTTGGTTTAAAGGCTTTCGTGACGGAAACTTCGACTTGGAAGAACGAGCCAAGAGGAAGATCGCCCACACAGGTGAATAACGATGAATTAAGAGAGATGGTGGAAGCCGAACCTAATCAAACTACGCAGGAATTAGTGGCATGGTTTAACGTTACCTTACCCACAATATTCACTCATTAGCGTCAAATCAATAAAATAAAAAATACGAAAAATGGGTGCCTCATGATTTGACTGATCTGCAGAAAGAAACGCGTGTTGAAACTTGTGTTGCCTTGCTGAATCGGTACTGAAATGAAGGAATATTGGATCGAATTGTGACATGTGATGAAAAGTGGATTCTTCATGATAAGCGTAAAAGAAAATGCAATGGCTGATAGATCCTCAGAATTCTATCGCAAAGGCATAAATGACCTTCCTATTAGATGGCAGCAATGTATAATGTAGGTATAGATGTGCCCCATCCTACTTAACCGTCCATAGGGAAGGCCTGAGCCCCTGCAGTGGGGACGTAAAAGGGCTGATGATGATGATGATGATGAATGTATAGATAATAATGGTAACTATTTTGATTAAATGAATTCGTGAATAATTAAAAAAAAATGTAATTTAACCCTTATTATTTAATACCTATCCCGAAGATGATTTTCAAAATATTTTGATGATATTCTATATTTTTAAATTGCTTTTCGAAATCCGAAAGGATGATTTTCTATGTTCATCGGGTATATATGTTTTACATGTAAGTAGGTATATCCTCTTGCATTGTGGACCTATTTATATCAAACTAGCTGTTTCCTCGTGTCTTCGCCTGCGTAAATAATATATCTTTTAGGATCATAGATGACTATATTAGCCTTAAAAATCTGACTGTAAACTCAGTTTAGTTTCAAAGCTGGAAATTTTTCTTATTACACAATCAAAACCGGCCATATTTTAGTTTCGACCAATCAGAAGAGTCCATAAATGCGTGTTTCAATATGGCGGATAGTGCAGTTTACGAACAACTTTGTCTCGAGTTTTTTTGGGTTTTTTATAGTGATTCAGTGCCTAAATATAGGAAATTATTATCATGGAGCATACTCCTATACTTGCAACTAATAATTACACCAGAAAACGAAGAAGGAATAGCGATAAATGGAAAATAAATGTGATGAAAAAACAAAGGTAATTTCGTGTTCTTAAGTAGGTTAGGGTTGTCACTTAAATTTAGCCTAACCATTAATAATATTTTGAAGTTAGTATTATAATTGTGAAAAGTATTAATTTTGTGATAAGTGCACATTACAAAATTATAGTATTTAGAGAATGTAGAAAGTATTTAACGAATTAAATATTACGATAAATACTGAAAGTATCAATTTGTAAATACAGTTAAAAAAATTCTGAGGCATGTGACATCTCTTCATTTATTTATTACTATTTTTTATTTAGATATGGGCCAAAGAGTATGCCACAGAGTGTTTGCCATCATAATACACCGGCGTTTAGATGTCAGAAAATCACTATGACACAAATGAAGAAAATTCATCAGGATTTTTATTTACATACAAATAAAAAAGATCAAGACGCTATTATCTTAAAATTGTGTACAATTATGCCTGCAAACTGCAACAGTAAAAATCAACACAAATATAAAGGCAGGAAACAAACGACTATAAAATATGGAGTTATTGTTAACAATACAAGAATACCTATCTGTAATAAATTCTTTTTGCATATATTTGGGATCTCCAAACACAGAGTGGCATTTGTCATGAAAAAGTTTTATTACACTGGAGAAGTAGGCACTGAGCATCGCGGAGGGGACCGTAAAACTGACAAGTTTGCTGACCAAAAGAAATCTATACACAACTTTATCGCAACTTTACAATGTATAGAGTCTCACTATTGTAGAAAAACAAAGACAGCCGAACGTAAATATTTACCATCGGAATTAAATTTATCTAAATTATTTAAAATGTACAAAGTAAGTGAACATGTACATCCACTTGTAAAGTTATCCTACTTTCGAAACGTTTTTAATACATCTTATAACATTGGGTTTGGAACGCCAAAGACTGACGTGTGCTCAACATGCCTAGAATTCAAAGAAAAATTTAAAAATGAAACAGACCCAATAAAGAAAAAAATATTAATGACTAAGAAACGTATTCATAATTTACGAGCTAAGGCATTTTTCCAAAAATTAAGCTATGCACCTGAAGGTGTCAAAGTGATTTCATTTGACTGTCAAAAAAACTTGCCGCTTCCGAAGTTGCCCGATCAATCAACATATTACAGCCGTCAATTATACTATTATAACTTTACCATGGTAGAAGGTACCTCGAACAATCCATTGTCAAGCCACAATGTTTTTGCTACTCATTTTCGGTGCAATAATCACCGAAAATGAGTACCATAAGGATTCCAACCTTATTGCATCTGCTGTATATCATAGACTCACCGTAACTGACAAAGCCGATGTCAAACATATTCGATTGATCGCTGACGGTTGCGGTGGTCAAAATAAAAATTGCATAGTTTTGGGTGCTTGTTGTAAGTGGCTATTAGAAAACTCAAGTATTCATACAATTGAATTAGTATTCCCGGTTACCGGGCATTCATTCATGCCTGCGGATCGTATTTTTGGTGTTATTGAAAGAAAACTGAAAACAAAAGAAGTTATTTTACACCCCGATGAAATAACAAAAGTGCTTAGAGAATCGTCAAGTATAGTAAAATTCGGAAACGATTGTGTTGTAAACGATTGGAGAGAATCTGTTAGAAAAGTGCTGAAGCAAACAACGTCATGGTCAGTCCAGTTTAAAGACTGTAAGAGATTTATATTAAAAATATCAAAGAAAGTTAGAAATGTACTGATTCGTGGGGAACTAAATTATAAATCTGATTTGGGTAAATTCGAAAATGTGTGTCAGAAGAATAAACAAATATCAATGCTAAGTCCTGAACCTTTGCCAAACATTGTACCTATAAATAAAAACAAATTACAGGATGTAAAGAAACTACTTCAAAAACATTTTGGATTCGAGTGGGTAGCTTTAGAATCTTTGACATTTTATAAAGAATTGTTTGAAACTCAAGAGGAACTAGTGGCTCCACAAAACGAAGAAAGTTTTTGCAACGAACGAATTGACGAAACTATTGAGTTACACGTCTAAATATTATGTTAGTGTTCAGTAGTAGATAGTTTTTTTACTTACTTTTATTAACAAATATCATACGTGAATAAATACATTACGTGATTGTGATTAAAATTATTTGTTTGGTTTATTACAGTTAGTAAAATCTAAATACTTGAACATTTATTAATATTTATATAATATTTCATGCTTCTGATTATTTTCTAATAAAATTACTTTAAAGATAATTATTTTATTTTGACAACCCTGTTCTTCTATTAAACTGTTAAATTCAAATGCGGTTTCTATGACATTTGGTTAGTGTCAAATGCGGCCATATTTACCAAGCTTAGTTTCAAATACGGCTATATTTAAAATTGAGTATCAAAGGTGGTAATCTAGCAACTTTATTTGCATATTACGATGTCTTCAGTTCATGTTAGTCTTCACATTAGTCTTCATTAACATTTATCATAACCAAACATTACATTGAAATACCTTCTATGAAAATCCTCGTCTAAAAATGAGATTATGTGGTTTTTTCTCATTTGCCAAAAATTTGGCTAAACCTACTTTGCCGTCTTTGATACTATACGACTCAGATAACTCATTGAATTTTACTGTCTCATATTAGACTGACAGAGTGTAGAGGGTTGATATTAATAGCAAAAGATCCCCTGGATCGAAAGTTAAGATGGTTGTTCCACTGGGGTAAATAATTGTTCCTTTCTTGTTTTTAATTTATGTACATATATGACTTGCCTTATTTCGTAAGGGATAATCACGAAATAGTTTTATTTGCGTATGACTTTTCACTTTTTTTTTTAAATTAAATTAAAGTTTTATTATTTCTGTCAAAGTTTAATATCAATGATCTGCAAACAGCACAATCCTACATGACGACTTCACGCCATTTACGAGAATATCATTAAAATAATTTATTTAATTAAAAATAGAAATGGAGCAAGATAAAACATTGGGGGAACACCTATTTTTACACGAGACCATGACGACTTTACACCATTTATATCTTAAAATTGTAAGTCGAGATTGACTGTATATCACGTGATATAACCATAGTGTGAGGTCGCTCCAGCAATATGTCAGATTAGTCGTAAGGAGTTATAAATCCTGTTTATTATAAATCAAATTTCTAGGTAGTAACTATCATGTTTATATCTTTTTATTATGTAGTCAGATCGTTAGATGATACTGTTCTTGTCTGATTAACATTTTTAATCTATAAAAATTGTGTGCCATTAATGTTATGTACACATGGCTGCGCGTCAGGTTACTAAAACAAATCAATTTTTCCTTTTCCTTTAATGCTTTCGAACTCTACATTCAAAAAACTCTACGTTAAGGTTTATAATCAACTGTAACCAATTTTAGGCAGGAAAATTTTAGAGCAATTGTTTAGTCTTCCAAAATATTTCTTATGGCTTATTAAAAAATGAATACTTACAAATATTATTTGAAACAAAGCAGAATTTACTGCTAATAATAAAAAATAATAAAAATTCTAAACAACTACAAAGGCCAGGTCCATAAATTTCATAAGCTTCAATTGAATGCGGGCGAAAATTTGATACTTGACTTCAATCAAGTCTTCAAAGTATTTTATAGTTTTCTTGTGACGATTTTTGTGAAGGTGTTGGGAAACACATGCCGAATAGGTTCATAAATAAAAAGCAAATGAAAATCTCAAAAAATTTAATAAGAAAATTTGAAAACAGCAATTAGTTGTTATTGTGAACAACCGAATGTCTTAACCACAGCATGGATTGCATGGGTTGCAAGGGGGTGCGCAAGGATTACAGGGGACTAGGCAAGGGCTGCAGGGGTTGCAAGGGTTACAAGGGTTGCAAGGGTTGCAGGGGTTACAGGGGTTGCAAAGGTTGTAACAAGGGTTACAAGGATTGCAGGGGTTACAAGGATTGCAGGGGTTGCAAGGGTCACAGAGGGTTAGGCAAGGGTTACATGGGTTACAGGGGTCACATGGTACTAGGCAAGGATTACAGGGGTCACAAGGGTTGCATGGATTACAGGGGGTAAGGCAAGGATTACAGAGGCTACATGGGTTACACGGATTACAGGGGGTTAGGCATGGATTACAGGGGTTGCATGGGTTACACGGGTTACAGGGGTTGCAGGGGTTGCAGGGGTTGCATGGGTTGCAGGGGTTGCATGGGTTGCAGGGGTTGCATGGGTTGCAGGGTAGACAAGGCGGGGCACAGACGCACGGCGTACAGCTCGTGCAGGGCGTGCAAGGGCGACTACAAACTTGGCCGCTGTAACACCTCCACGGCGCTGCGGCCGCATAAGCAATGAGAGCTGAAAAATTAATCAATTATATAATATACCTTATACTAAGACGTCACATAGCACCTTTCGTTATCATCAGCGTATTATTGTCCCCATGAAGAGCATGCACAAGTCATGAAGAGCATCAACATGTCTCATGCACAAGTATAAAATCAACAATTTACGTATACCCCAAAATTTTTGAAAATACTCTGCCACCTGATTCTATAGATAAAAGAATTTTTCAAATCGATCTCCTATTATTCGGAACCTAATAATAAACTATTTTATCTTTATAACATTATAGGTATTATCACAACTTACTGTTTTAATCTCAAACTGAAGTAATGCAAAATTCTTCAATGAAAACTATTACACGACTTAAAATTCACTTAACGCCATCTAATATAGCAAAGCTAAAAGTTCTCACAACATTTTAATTAATAATATTTGTAAATTTGAAAACTGATATGCACCTGTTGGTTGTATCTATTAACCATAGATTTATAATTATGTAAAATTTAATTGTGCAGTGAAATAAATGTATTTTCTTTGTTTCTTAAACTTGAGATATATTTTAAATAATACTGTAATACTTACCGAATAGAATTATAACTTGTTTAGCTACCATGGTTCTGATATAACTTGATTTTGAAACTTCAGCTTATATACTGCAAAATTTGTTTAAATTATCGATAAGTTTACATACGCATCAATGATTAGAAAATTGACTTACTGTGAAATATTTTTATCTTTATTGGAACTAAGTTCAATTATTATTTTAATATACTTATTATAAACTTTCTGTTATTGTATTCAAAATTATAAATCAACTTCTGATTTTATGAAATACTATGTTTTTTCAGACAAAAACTACAGTATACAAATTTCTCACAATTTTGGAAAAGTATAAAATGATTAAACCTGACATCTAACCTCTTTAGTTGTATATGTGAGTTTCGGAACTACAAGAGATAGCAAATCTTTTAAAGATGACTTCTATGTGGATCCTGTGATTTAACGCTCTACGTCAGTGTTTGAACCTGAGTATAATGTTGACAAAAACTGCATCAATATTTCTGCCAAAGATGTTAGAGACAATTGATGGCATGAGCAAAGGGTAATCCCCGGGTCACGAAGGCCTCTGTATCGACCACTTGCGGAATGCGAGTCCATATTTGTCTAGAGTGTTGGCTTTGTTTTATTCGTTATGTATTTCTTATTCTATATGCCTGATGATTTAATGAAAACCATTGTTATACCAATAGTCAAAAATAGACCAGGTGCTATATCTGATAAAAATAATTACAGACCAATTTCACTCGCTACTGTAATGGTAAAAAGATTTGATCGTCTACTAGATAAGCAGATGGTTAAAATTAAAAGCAAGCATTTAAAATTTCATGATGCGCAATTCGGGTTTAAGTCTAAACTGTCCACAGAAAGTGCTATATTAAGCTTTAAATATGTTACTAATTGTAAGTCTGTGGAATTCTCTTCCAGAGGGTATCAGGACGGCTCGATCATTGGGATCCTTTAGCAATGAAGTTAGAAATTATTTCCTTTCCTCATCTTAAAACTATTTCCATATTATTCTTTCACTATAAAACTGTTTAATTCATTTCATATGTATAAATTCTTTTTATTTACGAGTATTATAATATATTAACGCTATTTATTTATTTATCCTTCTCTTTATTGCACCCACTCCTCATAGTATCTTATTTTGTTATCCATTTTCACTTTATTTGTTGTAACAATGTATCTTTCATATTGAGTGCAATAAAGTATTTTATTATTATGATTATTATTTTGGACAGACACCGGTTTTTGCATGTTTTCTAGATCTCTCAAGAGCGTTCGACTCAGTATGCTATGACGTGATGTGATCAAAGCTTTGTGAAACTAACTCACCAAAGAAAATATGTATTTTTCAATTTTGGTATAGTAACCGAGTTAACAGAGTAGTATAGTTTGGCTCATTTTCTGATGTTTATGGTTTGAAATGCGGGGTTAGACAGGGGGGGGTCCTCTCCACACCTGTTTAATTTTTATGTTAATTAGCTGATGTCTGACCTCAGTAGACAACCAATGATAGATGTTATATAGACGGTACGTGTGTAAACAATATTAGTTACGCGGACGATATGGTGCTGCTGGCGCCATCAATCAGTGCCATTAGGGAACCGCTTCAACTGTGTTAACAGTTTACTGAGAGTTATGGGTTACAATATAATATAAGAAAAAATGAATTTATGTTATTTGCACTATAGGGTAATAAAAAATATAAAAATCTAGGACAGATACCACCAATCTTTTAATCGGGTCAGTAATGTTAAATATTTAGGGTATATTATATGTGATAATTTTAATGATGAGATGGACATAGAAAGGGAGCGAAGGGCATTGACGGCGAGAGCTAACATTGTAATCAGTAGGTTTTCCCTTTGTTCACGAGAGGTAAAAATTACATTATTTATGTCATTTTGTCAAAACTTTAAAACGGGTAGCCTATGGACAATGTATACTTAAAAAGCGGTCAGCGCTTTTCGTATCCAATATAATAATGTGTTAGGATGTTGTTGGGGTCCCACGGTTCTGCAGTGCATCAGGCACGCACAGACAGGTTTCAAGCGTAGCGTGTATAAATAACAGATAAGAATGTTTGGACGTAAGAAGGTCCAGCAATTGGATAGGTGATTTCTACTAAACTCATTATATCTCAAAAATTATCTTGTTTCCATTATTATTAAATTATTGTATTATGTTTCATTATATGTTTTTTGTGAATGTTATTTAATAACTTCTATTAGAGGAGGTGAGTTCCTTGCTCGTTCTTCTTATCAGCCAAAAGACGTCCTGAACGAGTGGTAGGGAAAAAAATTATGGTCGATTCAAAAATACTTTTAAGAAGACAATTTGAATAAAGATTATTTTGACTTTGACTATACGTAAGAAAATACTCGTCTCTCTTGATAATTGACTAGGTTTTTGAAATAAACAAAGATATTTTGATTTTTGTCATAAATTCGCGAGGTTATCTTTCAAATTCGAATTCAATATAATTTATCCAGTCTTAAGCACTTGTGAATGTCGTAAGCTATCGGTCAGGGAAACTCGGAAAGGGGTGTTTCTTTTTCCCTGTTTTATTTCGTCTAAGACTTATTGGAAAACGTATACCAATCATAGTGATGTACACAAATAAAACACTAGAAATAAAAACAAGCTGGTAATGCCTTCTTACGGGTTATAGAAAGTATTATTTTCATTCATGGGCCAACGTATAGGTACAATACTTTAATAAGATCCCCGATGATCTATTAGATTCGCCAATAAATATATTTTAAAAGTCGTATTAAATGTTGTCTACAAAGTAAAGAACCCGTTTATACCGTTAAACAATATATAAATAACAAAAAGACATGGTGTTACATGTTTGAACCTAATGTGATAATTATTTTTAGTAAACTACCTAGTTCTCCACGATATAATACATGAGGGCATGATACTGTAAAGTACCACTATCCGGCAGTTTCTATATGGATAATATGTCTTATATTTCGTATGGCATATGCAGCCGAGCTGAGTTTACCGGCTAATATAGAAATGTGCGAATTCTATGGGGTAAAGTGAATTTTATACATTTGGTTTCTTCAGCATTCAATTGGAGTTTATTAACTGTGAACCAAGACAACACACGCATTGTTTTCATCGTTAAAATTACACCTACTTATTTCTGTCAATGTTGAATTATCTTTACCTGGAAACAATACAATCTCACATAGGTTTTTAACAAAAAATGGTAAATCCTTTATTTCAATTAGAAAAAGAAACGGGCCTAAGACAGAACCTTTGGGAACACAACAGACCCTGACGACTTCGCACCATTTATATTTTATAATTATATGTCGAGATTTTTTGTATGTATGTCACGTGACTTCAAACATGACCCGCCATAGTGTGAGGTCGCTCCAGTAATATGTCAGATAAGTCGTAAAGAGAGACCTTTCTATTATAAATCAATTTTCTATATAGCTCTTACCATTATTATATCTTTTTATTATTCAGTCAGATCGTTAGATGAAACTATTCTTGTCTAGATGACATCTTTTAATTTATAAAAATATATATGTATTCTATATGAAAAATCTGAAATAAATAAATGTAAGAACCCGAAACAAACATGGAAAACTATTCCAAAATTCACAAACACAATTAAAGAAACAAACCACGCTGAGGAACTTTTACATAGCAACTCCAGTTGTCCACAAACGTCCATTACCAACCTAATCAATGAATATTTCTCAAACGTGGGAAAGAATCTTGCCAGTGAAATTGATAAATCTGCCGTTGTAGCAGATATCCCATGTGCTATAAAAAGTAACAATCATCCTAATTCTTTTGTTCTGCTTCCAACAGATAATATAGAAATTACAAATTTAATACAAAGCTTAAAAAACGATTCTGCTACTGGTTCTGACAACATTCCATCAGCGTTTCTCAAAGCAACAGCAAAATCGATAGTTCCAATTTTAACCCACATTTTCAATATCTGCTTTAATAATGGTGTTTTTCCGAAATTTTTCAAGCAATCCATTGTTCATCCCATTCATAAGGGTGGTAGTGGAGAGTGTGTCGATAACTTCCGCCCAATATCTGTTCTCACTGCATTATCGAAAATATTAGAAAAACTTATTAATTCACGTCTTATGAATTACCTTAAACAAGAAGATCTAATATCTTCATCTCAATTTGGATTCCAACCGAACAAATCTACGGAGGATGCCGTTGCTCAACTCGTTGATAACGTAGCTACAACTCTTGACCACGGAGACAAGTGCATTGGTGTCTTCCTTGATTTGGCGAAGGCTTTTGAAACGGTCCCATACTCCCATCCTACTAAACAAGCTGGAAAGTGTGGGTATCCGTGGAATGCCTCTAAAATTATTTAAGAGTTTCTTGACTAATAGGAAACAACGTGTAAGAATCGGTACATTTGAAAGCATTGACATGCCCATAACTTGTGGTGTGGCTCAGGGCAGTGTGCTGGGCCCAAGTCTCTTCCTTGTCTATATAAACGAGCTTTGTGACTATAAACCAATTAATTCTAGTATATTCTCCTATGCAGATGATAGTGCTATAATATTCAGGGGCGAGACTTGGGCTTCAGTAAAACAAGTCGCTGAAAGGGCACTAACTAATATAACCAATTGGCTGTTCAAAAACTATTTAACGTTAAATATTACCAAATCTAAATTTTTATCCTTCTCTATAACAAATAATTCAAAACCAGATCCGTCTTATTGCATAAAAATTCACACTTGCAACCAAAATAACCCTTTTTCATTATGTAACTGCTTATCATTGGAAAGAGTGAACCATATTAAGTATCTTGGTATACAACTTGATAGCACTTTGAATTGGGATGTTCAAATTGCTCATCTTTCATCTCGAACAAGAAAGCTAATTTGGATATTTAAAAAATTTGGGGACGTGCTGAAACCATGCTCAGTTAAAAGCATCTATCTTGCACTCGCGCAATCGATCTTAAGTTATTGCATATCGGTATGGGGTGGAGCATGTAAAACTAAAATCATAAAATTAGAAAGAGCACAAAGATCAATCCTCAAAGTAATGTCAAAAAAACCATATCGGTACCCGACTACTATGCTTTATCGTAATTGTGCAGTTCTCAGCATACGCCAACTGTTTATCCTTCATGCCATTCTGTACAAACACTCTAAAGTTCCATATGACCGAAATAGCTCCATATCAAGAAAACGTAGAGCCGACAGAGTCTTTGTCATAGCAACTCATCGTACTACTTTTGTTAGAAGACATTTATGTTTCCTTGCACCTTATTTATACACTTCTATATTAACGCACCACAGACACACACACACACACACACACACACACTCACACACTCACACACACACACACACACACACACACACACACACACACACACACACACACACACACACACACACACACCCACACACATCCATGTTTATGCATATCATAGCATCCATGTTTATGCTTTACTTTACTTAAACCGTGTCAGCATTGACTTGCACTGGGATGAGCGCTCGTTAATTCACGGGTGGGACCTGGAGTCCTGAATTACAAGGTTGCCCTAGCTTAGGCTCCAGATCGCACAAAATAATTACTCATAAATTGTTTGCCTATCAATCAATGATTGTGTGATAAATAAACTGATTATTATTATTATTCCCGTATCCATAATAATTATTATTATTCTAGGCCTATTTTGTGCCAATTGTGTATACAATCACACGTCTGCACGTCAAGTTACCATATTATATCAAACTTTTCCAGTTGATTTCAACACTCAAAGCATTAAGGTTTAAAATCAACTGGAAAAAAAATTGGCAGGAAAATTTTGCCTATATAAAATATTTTTATGGCTTATTAAAATTATAAAATGAATACATTTAATAAGCTTCAATATTGAATTGAAGCTCATAAAATTTTTGTTTTTTTTTTGGCGAGCGAGTATTTGGTACCTGACTTCAATCAAGTCTTCAAAGTATTTATAGTTTTCTTGTGACGATTTTTGTTGAAGGTGCCGTGAAAATATATACCGAATAGGTTCATAAATAAAAAACAAATTAAAATCTCAAACAATTTAATAAGAAAACCAATAAGAAAATTTGAATAACAGCAATTAGATGTTATTGTGAACAACCGAATGTTTTAACCACAGCATGGGTTGCATGGGTTGCAAGGGGATACGCAAGAATTACAGGGGACTAGGCAAGGGTTGCAAGGGTTGCAGGGGTTGCAGAGGTTGCAAGGGTTGCAACAAGGGTTGCAAGGATTGCAGGGATTGCAAGGGTTGCATTGGTTACTGGGGTCACAAAGGGTTTGGCAAGGGTTACATGGATTACAGGGGTCACATGGTGCTAGGCAAGGATTACACGGGTTACAAGGGTCACAAGGGTTGCATGGATTACAGGGGGTAAGGCAAGGGTTACAGGGGCTACATGGGTTACACGGGTTACAGGGGGATAGGCATGGATTACATGGGTTGCATGGGTTGCATGGGTTACAGGGGTTACAGGGATTACAGGGGTTGCAGGGGTTGCAGGGGTTGCAGGGGTTGCATGGGTTGCATGGGTTGCAGGGTAGACAGGGCGAGACACAGACGCACGGCGTGCAGCTCATCGGGCATGGACAGGGCGTACAAGGTCGACTGCAAACCTGGCTGCTGACGCACCTCCACGGCGCTGCGGCCGCATAAGCGATGAGAGCTGAAAAATTATACAATTATATACTATACCTTGTAATAAGGCGTCACATAGCACCTTTCGTCATCATCAGCGTATTATTGTCCACATGAAGAGCACAGATCTTTAATATGAATGGAACCTAATATGGAGAATGGATTGCTCAGGATGCGGGCCTAATGCGGACATGTTGATGATAATGATCACTGATAGCTTGATATTAATTTGAGTTTAAAAAAGTTTATTTATTTGAAGAATATATTCATATCATTTAAATCATCATCTTCTGGCAGCGAACCAGGATAAACCCCGTGACACTGTAAAATATACTTAATAATATATTGCAGTATCTAATATTTGACCAATAAGCTATACTAATATACTAAAGAGGAAAGATTTGTTTGTTTATGTGCATCGAATAAGCTCCGACAATATTTGACGGATTTTAAAGATTCGCCTACGGGCAGCTACATCATTCCCAGGTGTTATATTCTGTATTTACGACGTAGCGGGAAAGCAGTGAGTGTCATATAAAGAAACAAAAAAAAATCGCGTCTAAAACAACCAATTTCTTTTAAATACGAAATAAAATAAGATTTAAATAATATTAATGTGTATTTATGTTTGATAATTCAATAATAATGTAATAATTATTTAATTAATATATTAACAGATCTTTACTGACTTTATAACGTAGGGAATTGTTAACATCCATGTGTCAAAAAGACAAACAATCAATTTAAAATTAACCATGAGACATAAATATGTCTAATTAAATAATTAAACTAATAAATTTACGTATCCCCAAAGTTTTTGAAAATATTTTGCCATCTGATTCTAATGGTAAAAGATTTTTTTAAACCGAATCAGAAGTTCCGAAACCTATTCAATGCAAATAATAAATTATTTTATTATCTTAATCTCAAACTAAAGTCAACGCAAAATTCTTTATTGGAAACGATTACACGATATACTATTCACGACTTCTTACTACCTTTAAATTTTAAACTAAAGTCGTTTTAAACAAATACTAGATTTCCGCCAGCGGCTTCACCCGCGTGGTCTTGTATCATACATAAAAACCTTCCTTTTGAATCACCCTATCTATGAAAAAAAACCGCATCAAAATCCGTTGCGTATTTTTAAAGATTTAAGCATACATAGGGATATAGGGACAGAGAAAGCGACTTTGTTTTATACTGTGTAGTGATGTATATCAATATACAATTTAATTGTTCGATAACATTATAACATATATTATATTATGAAAAAAGTATTTAATTATATTTTAATTGTAAATCATCATCATCAGCCCTTTTACGTCCCCACTGCAGGTGCTCAGGCCTTCCTTATGGATGGTTAAGGAGGATGGGCCATGACCCTCCACGCTGGCCCAATGCGGCTTGGAGGGTATTGACGACTGCAAATGCAGCCGGGACCAACGGCTTAACGTGCCTTCCGAAGCACGGAGTAGCTCGAGACAATTTTTTTTTGGTCACCCATCCCATGACCGGCCCTTGCGAAAGTTGCTTAACGACAACGATCGCGGGCCGCGGCGCTTAACCACTACGCCACCGAGCTACTCAATTTAACTCAACTCAATTAATTGTACAATGAAACAAATATGTTTTCATTCTTCTTCCTTTCTTAAACTTGAGATATATTTGAAGTAATACTGTAATACTTACCGAATAGTACTATTACTTGTTTAGCCATCATGATTCTGAAATAACTTGACTTTGAAACTTCAGCTTATATACTGCAAAATTTGTTTAAATTATCGATAAGTTTACATACGCATCGATGATTAGAAAATTAATTTTACTGTAAAATGTTTTTATCTTTATTTGAGCTTAGTTCAATTATTATTTAAATATACTTATTATAAACTTTCTGTTTAGGTATTTAAAGACATAGTTCGAAATCATGATAATATTATATAATATATGAGTTGTCAATCAACTTTTGTTTTTAGAAAATACTAGGCCTCCGTCAGCTCTGCGGCTTCGCTCTGTGGTCCAGGGGCGCGATCACCAAACTCATTGACGTAGCCAAAGTCGTAGCTATAACCTATGCTCGATCGATATTTCTCATGAAGCTAATTATATTATTTTAAAATTAATTGATTTAGGCGGGCGCGCCCCTGATGACCCGCGTAGTCCTGTATTATATACCTATAAGCCTTCTTCTTGAAAAGCTCTGTATATTGATGGAAACCGCATTAAAATCCGTTGTATATTCAAAAATATCACAGGGTACAGGCAGCGACTTTGTCTTTTAAATAAGAGCTATCTCTTTAAATGAAACAATTTCAAAATAGCGTAGCTTTCTAATCTGAAACTGCTTCATTATTATCATCCGCCTATGAATGTTCTTCAATGCTGGGGCATGGGCCCTTCCTACTGATGGCTTCAAATCGAGTCGAAAATAGAGAATGACTCTGACTCATCACGCGAGACCGGTGCGGATTGGTGGGTGTTAACAACTGCAGATACAGCCGGGTCCAACGGTTTGACGTACCTTCAAATTGTCCTGTAACCGGGCATTGCTAAAGTTGCTTTAATTCTCTTCCTATTATCTGACCGATAGACTAAATAGAATTACATTTTTTACCCAGGCATTAATCCTATTAACATGAATACCCATCAAGCTGAATTTTCATACCATTCCGTCATTACAGATGCTTTGACATATCATCTGTTCTATGGATCAATCATCATGTGCGTTGTTTTTCATTCGAGATCTTTGTTCTTTGAAGGACACAAATAAATGACAGAAAATGCGAATTACAAAAATATATTTTATGTTTAAATTTATGTAGGTTATTTAAAATATTTCCATTATTACGTATTTTGAGTGTGTGTAAAATAAAGATCATTTATCAAAATAAATTAATCTATACTAATATTATAAAAAGAAAGATTTGGTCGTTTTTTTACATCGAATAGGCTTCGTATATAATGAACCTATTTTACAAATTCTTTCACCTACAAGAAGCTACATAATACGCGGGTGACAAAGGCTATAATCTACACAGGCGAAGTTGGTGTACAGCTGTTTTTTTTATATATTATATTCTGTTTTATATACAGGAGCGTGGTAATGCGATGGGCATTGCTCTGGGTGGTTTGGCGCTGGGAGTCCTGATTGGTCCACCATTTGGAGGTCTCATGTACGAGTTCGTCGGGAAGACTGCGCCCTTCCTCATGTTGTCGGCACTTGCTCTTGGTGATGGACGTAAGTAAAACCTATGGTAGACGAAGAGTTAAATTCATATTTTTGTCTTTACTAAATGTTATCGCGCTAATTTAAGAAGAAACGCTAGAATAAAATTTCTTCGAATAAGTCCAAAATCTTCATTGACCTTGCTAAGGCATTTGCCAATATATTAATCATTAAGTTCGAAATAATATAAATAAATATTAGACAACGTTATGTACACACATTGCGCAGCACTTTTTACGTGCAAACTACTGAACGGATATTGGTGAAATATGTTATACGGATATTTATAAGCCTGAATGAATATATATTGAGTAATTTTCCCACACCGGCGTAGCAGTTAGCAGAAAGCTGGTATTATAATAATTTCGTTAACCATCCGATTACTATCAATGATAATGAAGTCAAATTAAGGGTACAACTCTTCATTAGACTTCATTAAGTTATCTATTTTCCAGTGTTGCAGCTGATGATCTTGCAACCTGGAGTAGTACGTCAGGAGACTGAGCCGCCATCCCTCCGGGCATTGGTCACTGATCCTTACATTATTGTTGCTGCTGGTAAGTATTTTTATTATATTAAAATATAATAAAAATAAAGATATATAAAAATACAAAAACCCGAATGCGTGTTAAACAACTTGGAGGCATGAAATTCAATAATAAGTTAAATTATTTTCTATTTGTGCATGCCACCTACTGCATGTTATATATGATGTTGCATTATTTTGTTTTTTTTTAATTATAATTTTATTTATGTTTTTTAGTTAGACAAATAACAAGGTTGAAACAGAAGACAGTCCAGAAAATGAAATAACAGAGTCCATATTTTTAAACCTTATATTATTGTATTATTATTTTTAATGATAAACATGATGTAAATTTTTGGAATCAGTGTATTGAGCCTTTTAATTTGATACCCATATATATATTTTTTTTTATATACTTATAAAGGAGGGCAAATGACTGCGCTCCACCTGATGGTAAGCGGAGGCGTAGTCCAAACGCGAGGACAGCTAGTGAAAACAGTACGTAGGTACTGCACTAGCCAACCTCACCTTGCCGACCTGCAAGGCGCTTCTTCACGCCCCGCTTGAAGGACCCCATGTCATAGGAAACCAAACAAATAACATTAAATATAATGGCGTCACACAGCCGCCATATTTAATATTTTTCGACGTTACCTATCTAAGAACACTTGTACTACTAAGATAAATTTTTCGTGAATTAATTATATATTTGTATAAATCAAAATATTATCTCGATACACTTTACAGACTATATTTCTAAATCAAGTCTTAACAAAAGTAGCGTGGAGAGCCTTTGCCCGTCTATGTTTTTTCTGTCACATAACAGTTAAACTACGACACCAAACTATAATTATGCATTGGTTTTCGAATTTCTCTTTGTGGATTGTTTTTCGGTCTCTGGTGGTAGTTTTAACATGATGCGTTAATATTTATTTTGTTTAAAATTATGCTTGGTTTATAAAATTACAAGAAAATAAATTTTTATGTAAATCACTTATTTATTTTTCTATATTATCGTATAAGAAAACAGTAAAATTACGTTTGATTAAGTTAGGGTTCCTTATTGGCCCAGTAATACACCGCTTTATATTGTTTTCTCTTCTTTTTTAGGTGCCATAACATTTGCGAATGTGGGTATAGCAATGTTAGAGCCAAGCCTGCCCATATGGATGGCGGACACTATGGAAGCGCGCCGCTGGCAACAAGGGGTAGCTTTCTTGCCTGCTAGCATTTGTTATCTGATTGGTAAGTATGAATAGGGATGAGTTAGAGTCAATCTCGCCTGTATATAAACCTACCTAACGTATAATATAATGTACAACATGACAAAGAAGTTTCATCTGTGAAATAAGTGAGATGGTGTATTAATCAATTCAAGAATGATAGAAATAAAGCTGTGGTTGGGTATAGGTATTCATATATATTGCTGTATATAGTAAAAGGTAACTTGATTTTTAATCCATAAATAAATCTAGTTATTTTGGGGCGGGAAGGGGAGAAATATTATTGCTGCTGTTATTATTTAAACATGAATGCAGAAGTAATTGGTATGCCTTAAATGTGTTTATTATTTGTATTTTTTACATTTTGCCAGGTACAAACCTTTTCGGACCACTCGGTCACAAAATGGGACGTTGGTTAGCTGCTTGCTCTGGACTTGTTATCATTGGTATCTGCCTAATATTGGTAAGAATACTGCTGATAAATTGCTAATACAACTAATGTTCTTTATTACAAATTACGATGTCACTAAATGTTTGAAGTTATATATTTTAATATAGGAAAAGGACTTTGTAAGACGCCTTTATTATTCTGAATAATGTGTTTCCACTATAAACCCTTACAATCAAAATTAGCATAATATCGTTGCCTAAAAAAAGCAGTACGGAAATCTGATCTACGGTTATCATAGAAAAGTAATAATCGTAATATGGACTAATGTAAGATAGCGTTAGCGATGACCCGTTATGAGTGTGAGTAACGTAAAAATTAAATCACTATATTACAAGAATTGTCCCTTTGAATTGTATAATACAATTAAACCGCAAATAAAAATATGTATTCATTTTTAGTGTATATCATTAAAATCATTTTGTGTAATTTAGAATGATTTTTTTATAGATTTAGTCACAATAAACACGTTGGCCAATATGAAAATAAAATGCAAACAGTTGCAGAAACGGATGTGTTTTTGTGCTTTAAATACTCTTTGTTACGAACTTCTTATTGACGATTAATCTAAAACCTCTAAATGATACAAAGTTGGATATATTTTTTAAATTTACGCTAAAATTGCAATTTTGGTATAAGTCCAAATTCATATTATACAGAGAATAATATCAAAGCTACTATCTTCTAGGAGTTAATATTCATCATCATCACTTCAGCCGAGAGACGCCCACTGCTGGGCATAGGCCTCCCCCAAAGATTTCTAAAGCGATCGGTCCTGCGCCTCCCGCATCCAGCGGCTTCCCGCGACCTCTACCAGATCGTCGGTCCACCTTATGGGGGGCCTACCAACACTGCGTCTCCCGGTACGCGGTCGCCACTCCAGGACCTTACCGCCCCAACGGCCGTCAGTCCTGCGAGCGATGTGCCCTGCCCACTGCCACTTGAGGTTCGCAATTCTTTGGGCTATGTCGGTGACTTTCGTTCTTCTGCAGATCTCATCATTTCTGATTCGATCTCGTAAAGAAACCCCGAGCATAGCCCTTTCCATTGCCCTCTGAGCGAGTTTGAGCTTCCTTATGAGGCCCAACGTAAGCGGTCACGTCTCAGTACCGTATGTTATCACTGGCAACACGCACAAATAAAAGACTTTCGTCTTGAGACACTGCGGTAGATGTTCCGAGAATACATAGTTGGATCAGAGTAGACATACAGAGATAGATACAGAGAGATACAGAGTTGGATCCGTCGATTTACCTCTCTCTGGAAGTTGGACTTACCTAATCGGACTATTTGTCCCAGGTAAACATACTCGTCGATAGCTTCCAGTGTAGAGCCTCCAACATTCACTGGAGTGGGTACGACATGGGAGTTTGACATTATTTTTGTCTTCTCCATGTTCATTTTAAGACCCACTTGTTGGGAAACTCTAGAGAGGTCTTCGAGCATTGTGCCTAGATCTTCCATGGTCTCAGCCATGACTACGATATCATCAGCGAAACGAAGGTGCGTCATGTACTCGCTGTTTATATTGATGCCAAGTCCTCTCCAGTCCAAAAGCTTAAACACGTCCTCCAGTGCGGCAGTGAACAGTTTCGGCGATATAACGTCGCCCTGTCTCACTCCACGCTGAAGTCGTATTGCTTTCGAGTTTTGGTCCTGGAGCCGAACTGTCATGGTGGCGTTTTCATACAGTGACTGCAGCACTTGGATGTATCGATAGTCTATTTGGCACCTCTGGAGTGACCTAAGCACGGCCCAGATCTCGACGGAGTCGAAGGCTTTCTCATAGTCCACAAACGCCAAGCACTGTGGCAGATTATACTCCTCGGTCTTCTGTATAACCTGTCGCAGCGTATGAATGTGGAGTAAATATTACTCCCGTTGAACCTCGTACTAGGTTAACCTTTGATAAGTCTCTGTTTAATATTCCGAATTTTGACTAATATTAAGTTTAGTCTCAGCGTAAATTTCATCATCATCATCATCAGCCCTTTTACTTCTCCACTGCAGGGGCTCAGGCCTTCCTTATGGATGGTTAAGGAGGATGGGCCATGACTCTCCACGCTGGCCCAATGCGGATTGTAGGAAATTTAATCCGACGCTAAACCTTGTTTATTAATAACACTGTTAGTGATTTTTATCTAATAAATGACTGGACTAATTACCGTACTTCTAAGTCATGATGTTCGATATATGGAGTAACTCAATTCGATTTTCATTAGATCCCAATGGCGCGCAAATTAGAACACCTGATCATACCCAACGCTGGACTCGGCTTCGCCATCGGCATGGTGGATTCATCTATGATGCCCGAACTAGGGTTCTTAGTAGATATTCGACATGCTGCAGTCTATGGATCCGTTTATGCCATCGGTGATACTGCATTTTGTCTCGGCTATGCTGTCGGTGAGTAGTTTGAAATACGAAACACTTATAGTTAAATTAGTATTAAAAATTGCTGTAACTAACGTAGTGGATTGATATTAATTTCCAAAAAATACTTAATTTTAAATCATCATCATTGCGAATTTGAGGGTATTAACGACTGCAAATGCAGCCGGGACCAACGGATTAACGTGCCTTCCTAAGCACGAAGTAGCTCGAGACAATAAATTTTTGGTCACCCATCCCCTGACCGACCCTTGCGAAAGTTGCTTAACGGCAACGATCGCGGGCCGCGGCGCTTATCCACTACGCCACCGAGCTATATCCACTACTAATTAGTAGCTCGGTGGCGTAGTGGATTATTATTGTAAAATTATTAATGTCTAATTATATAATATATAATTATATTTAATACCACATGGTCATATGAAACGAATAATATTAAGGTACACCTGCTACTGTTCTTCTTGTAACTGGTTACACTGTAATTTTTATCGCTTGTCTTTGGTTGGTTAGCAGGTATCTACTGCTAGTAGAAATCCAATAACTAAAGCTTTAGACCTTATTTGCTGGTGTTAAAAAGAGGTTTTTCTATTGAAATAAAAAAAAATCTTATCGTAAACATCTCATTGTTTGATCAGAATAAAATGTAATGACAAGTCGTTGTTGAAATAAACTATAATTGTTCTTATTATATACATATTTGATTAATTTTGCATTCACAATGCTATACTGCAAAATATTTTCAATAAAAAATGCTTAAACAATCCACTTTGTCCCTGGCACTGTGAGATGGGACTCGAACCCATGATCTTTCGCAATCCGTGCGACTGCTCTAACCACTGAACTACCCAGGACCTAACAGGACTGACGAATTTTTCAAGCACTTATTACTTTTCGCTACTATAGAGCGTATATTCATCAATGTTCAGGCAATGAAAATAAGCTCTGTAATAGCGAAAAGTAATACGGGTTCGAGTCCTATCTCAGAGTGCCAGGGCCATAGTAGATTTTTTAAATTTAATTCATAGTCAAATTAGGGCAATTTACCATACACTACATTTTTACTAAGTAAGATTGTACTGACTACAGGACCCGCTTTTTCTGGTGCTCTGGTAAATAGTATCGGCTTTGAATGGATGCTGGTTATAATTGCGATCCTGAACTTTGGGTATGCACCATTCCTGCTGCTGCTCAGATCGCCACCCGCCAGAGATGAGAAACAGGTTAGACTAAAACTAAATGTAAAAATAACATTTTTATTCTAATTATTAAAAACTCTAACACTAACAGGTGCAATTAAACATAAAATATTTATATGTTATAATAATCTTTTAATTATAACTACTTTATTTTTTGCTTGTTCAACGTCAAAATAGTTTTTATTAAACTTAACTTGGGGTAAGTTGGCGTAAAGCGCATGTAGAGCTAATCTTACGCCATAATAGGGATGAAGACTAAATTTTGTTTTTTTTATCCGTCAGGCAGATTGTTGAAAAATATTAAATATATATATTCTTTTTGTTATTATTAAATTACGGCGATACATAGAGTTAAAATGTCACATGACGTCACGTGTTTGTACATTTTCTACAAAACTGTGACGTAGCGAGCCCCCACTTCGCAACTTTAATGCCTGGATATGCAAGCTTTTATTCTATTAGGCAGCCAAGCAAGCTATTTTGCTATTTTTCTTGTTAAGTTGAAGTATAAAAAAAAGTATCTAATATTTTCTATATCTGACCGACGGACTAAATAGATTTTTTTATCCAACCGTCATCCCTATCAACTTCTTATACAAAACTTATATTTTTTAGGTAATTATCATTTATTCTCTTTTCAGAGCCTGATAATAAGCGACAAATCATCAGTTAGATACGTGAGTTATCAGAACGAGGAGGACGAATAACGACTTCCATAAAAATCGCCATCTTGAAAGACCGCCATTTTGATAGACCACCATCTTGAATGACCACCGACTGGAATGCCCGCCATTTGTTTTTTATTAATCAGACATAATTATATATGGGGTTTGCTTAGTGTACTATTTACATATTAATTAAAATATATTACTTAGATGACGTCTAAGGAGTGCCAAGGTTGCTGTAATATAGCCAAAACATATTTTTATTCAAACATATAAGCAGAACTAATTTATCATAAGTATTAAGATTTCCGATAGAAACATTAAGCGGATATCTAATGCTTACTATATAGATATTAGTGAGTGTGAACAAAGCATGTATACACATCATATTAAAATAAATTATACATGTAATAATTATTATAATATAATATATTACATATACTGTAGAAATTGCCCAAATAAAATATATTTGCTATTACCTGTATTTCTATAGAAAGTATACTTTTCGCTATCTTATATCAAAATCGATATCAAAAATAAACATATTTACCATTTAATGACCAATTTTAACTCTATATAAACATTATATTATACCCATATAATATGTTACGAAATATATGTCTTAAACTATTATAAACATTTTTCAGAATATTCTATATCTTAAAGACAATAACTTACTTTATGCTATGCATCTTGGTTTATATTATCTACTACATTCTATTCTATTTTATAATTATATGTACCTAATACTACATAACTATTTTATACATAGCCGTTCTGTCAGGGTGTGTTGTAGGTACATATATAAAAAAACAAACAAATGAATTTATCTTCAGACATAATATTTAGAGACGAATAATATATTAATATAATACTTTAACAGCCCAAGTCGTATCTTTATAATTTCCTTCATGAAATCTGTAACAAATTGTTTCAAAACCTTAAAGAAGATAAGACTTTTTATTTATATTAAATGTTAATTTGCTTTTTCATAATATTATGGTGTATTTATATTAATATGCGTATTTGTTGTAACCTAATATATAATTTTGCGGACGTGACTTGGACAATATTTTTTAATAATTACTTATACGTTATTGTATATACAATTGTGATATGTACGCAAAAAATATTTAAAAAGTATTTAAGACAATAAATGTAATGTTAACGCAATAATATTACGCTTTTATGCGATTTTAGTTTGAGACAGTAATAAATTTAAGACAATAATTAATATTTTTTACACACGTTAATTGTGCACTTTTGATAATTTGCGATATTGATCGGGCGAAGGACCAAAAAAAGGAGTAATTTATGTTGTCATTGTTAATAATGTTTTGAGCTTACATCGTAAATAATTAATATACCTAAACATACGGCCTTTATTACTTTACACTATTTAAAAGTCACATCCTTTTATACATATTTGTTATTATTAATTAAAAATATGTAGGTATGCATTTAATTCCAAAATAACATATTTTCTTAATATATTCAAATTATAAAATTACCAAACAAAATTTAACAATATTGTTTTGGAAAAACTGAAATTATCGCATAAATAATAAAAAAACAAATGTGTAGATAATAACTATTAGTTATAAAAAGTTAAATTTTCAGTTCATTAATGAGCTTGTGTTTCGTGAGGATTCCTTTTAAATAATTATTTGTTTTATATATTATAAATAAAAACGCATTCAAATATGAATGATCAAGTATTGTATTTTTCGTGTAGTTATAGATTGTAGGTGTCTGAAATAGATTTAATAGCTATTTTATGACTTAATAGAAGTGTGTAATTTAAGGTGTATTATGTTAAAAACATGTTTCTAATGAAATATTTTTTTGTTTCTAAATCATTTTGATTACACAATATAACATATAATAATACTCATTTCTATAATTCATCAAATGATTACATATCTCAAATTCCATATGAATTAAATAAGTTTTCTTTATACATGTATTATTTAATTTACATTAGAAATTAATTCATAAATTAATATTATTTTAATATTTTTTCTTTAATTCATAATAAATCCTAGATATGTTCTCATTAATAATTATGTCCAAATATCCAGTATCTAACATTGTGTATTTGATATTTCTAATAATTAGCTAATTCGACGTATGCTACGTTACTATTAAAATAAACAATATAAATCAATAACATGGATGAGATCTACGGGTAACTTTCACGTACGAGAATATTCATTATAATATTATCTTGGAAGCTTTATTGTTACCTACATCACAGTCACGTTTTCTTTTTAAATATAAATGTAAAGGTATATGACAAAACTGTAATATATACACAGCAATATTGCAGGTTACTGTTGTACAAAAGTTCTGCAATTCGATATTGACCTTTACTGTCATCATATTAAGGTTTTCGATGCCAATATGAGTAAATTAATCATTTATAGTACCTACTTAATTCGCTGCAGCTCGTGTCCACAGTATAAAAGTGGGAAAAAATAGTATTTATTTTCATATTGCTTTTATTAATTGTCGTTATTTCTTAATGTCTGAAGGATTAGCATATTTATTTAATGTTTAACGAATGATTCATTAATTTTATCGGTGCGAGTACATACAAAATAGATTTCCTCGTAATTATAAGATAAACAAAAAAATGCACGTGACATATGTTGCACAATTTATAAATGGCTGTATAAATTGTATGACACAAAACACGTGGATTTAAACCATGTTATTGACCAAAAACTGTTGCAATGCAATATTCTTTAAATATTTCTTTTGTTCAACATTATTTTTATAACTCAAAATTTATAATTTTCAGTATTCAATATAAAAAAAAATTTCAATGAATATATTTCTTTATTCAATTAGATTAAACAATTTAATGGTTTATGCATAGAATAGGATTATAACTTATCTATAAGTTCTTGATAATATATATAAAAAAATACATATTATAAACGAAGTAGAAGGGAAATTATAATCACATAATCTTCCATTTTTAGAACATCGGTGTGAAAAGTCTATACCAATGCTAATAATATATAAAAATTGCGAATAAATAGATGTCTTACTACCTACTTTTTTACCATTAAACTTTTCCCATAGTATTTTCAGTTATATTAGCTGCTTATTGAATTTTTATATAAATCTGCTAGTTTTTTTTAACTAACTCTATTTTGAATAATAATTAGAAATAAAATCGAAATAATATACATTAAAATAATATACATATTCATTCGGTAGACTGTAAGATAAATGTTCTAATCATTCATATTTGATGCGTAATTTTCAGATAATAGACGTATTACTATTACACAATAGCTGGGTTTGGGTCCTGTCTAACTCTTAAAATAATTTTATATCTACTATATTTGACTGTCTGAATGGTAAATAATATCACTTTAAAGTAATCAATGGTTTTAAAAAATATAATATATATATATATATAATAGTTTTTTTTATAATTGATTTGAAATAAAAAACAAATACTTGCAAAATGTTTTTAAACTAATATTAATTATTTGTAATTGCAAATACTGATTTTATTTTACCGAAATAAAATATTCATTCAGATTTTCAGATGTACATTTTAGAACTCAAATATAGTTAGTAGATTAATATTGTAATATAATATATAAAGAAGCCTCGAGCTGAAAAGTGTATCTTAGTAATAATGAGATTATTTGTATTATAAACTAATATGTTTCCCATGATTATCTTGATATATTATATGAATATATATTTTTAGGTAGTTAAATTTTTATTCATTACGAAAAAAGTATAATAGAGTATGTAAAAATATTAAATGTGATAGATGATTAGTGATATTTTGATGCTTTTTAATATTACAGTAAATTTAACTAGGTTTAATTGCAATATATATAGGTATATATAAAATATATATTTGTTATGATTTGTCAGTCAAACCAATATTGATTTGAAGAGTAACATGAAACTCAATGATTACTTATCAATGTTTCATTTTCCTTCACATTCTTAAGAGTTATTATTTTATTTAATATGAAATATTGAATTTCAAAGAACAACAAAATATTGGAGATTTATATTTTTATTTATAAACATGCAATTTGTCGCTCTACACCAAATACATTTATAAATAAGACAGTTTTGGTAAATTAATACTATTTAGAATCATGAACTTTCGTTACTACCATTTATAATACAAGTAATTAAGTGAAAAGAAATAAACTCTCATTGGACTTGATTTTTTTACAATATAACATTTAATTTAGTAAATATTATAATCTGTATCCTTCGATATTAATAATCAAGATTTATATCTTCGATATAAAATTTGGCAAGAATTCAAAATGCAGCTTACGAAAAAATTAACGATTTTTTAAAAATATTGTTAAATATATATTATTATTAGTTTGTTCTGTTATTAATTACGCACTGTTTATAAGTTATAATGAATTTTAATCAATCTAGTCCTGCTCTTTATATAATATTTATTTGAATATACACAAATATATGTCGTTTGGTAGATATACAACTTTACGAATATTATATTATAAAACATTGTAATTTATTGTGAGTTTTTGGGGTGTTGTTTTAATAAAATGTGGGTATATGAACTACATTGGTAGTTTTATTTTTATCATTGATCGCCCGGCGTTCGATATAATAGGTCCATATTTGATCACAAAATTGGGTCATACATTTCTTGTTTGTGCCGTTAGGAAATGTTTTCGGAAATATTAATTCAATCATGAAAATTAGGATATTAATAAATAAATAAAAGTTTTTTTTTATAAAACTTTAATCGTTGAGAATCTTAACATTTAAAAATAACAAATTAAACTTATTATCTGTTACAAATTTAAAATATCGTATATACATAAATTCGACTAAATATAAATGTTATTTTTATCCTTGGAAAGCGAATGAATAGCCTTCTCCGAATGTGTGAGGTTTCTTATTGTCGATATCATTTTCCCGATACTGTAAAAATAAAACACATAACTAAAGTGTGTTCCACATGGGTGCAAGCCAACATTCCAACGTAACTTTGTTGGGAATTGTGGATTATGTTCGACATTTTATTTACAATGCTGTTTAGACTGGCGTTTCTCAATCTGTATTCCACAGTTCTCTAAGAATATGTTAATGCAGGGGCTATGCATCTTATGCCTCTAAATCAGGGCTCTCCTACCAATAGAACCGGTTTAAAGGGCAAGGTTAAAGCAAAGCGTAAAAAACCTATCTAATAAAACCAGCTGCAAAATCCTTAGCTTTAGCGCGGTGCATGTGCGTCCGCTATTACTTAATAGTCATATCAACTCATGTAAATATTTCTTTTAAATTGACGTGTATTATTGGGTTTTATATGAAATAAACTGACACACTTAAAAAAATGTAATAATAGCTTCGAAATTTATTGTTTTTTATTCAGGAGGGAATAAATGAGGTTTGGAGTCTCTCGTATTGTTCTGAATTCTTCTCCTAGAGATCCGCGGACCAGAAAAAGTTAGCAAATTCGGGTGTAGACAATTAGTCACAAACAAGATCACCTCTGTTGGAACGCTGGTTTGCAACCGTGTGGATTATACTTAAATAATATGTTCTTTGTATCACTAACCTGTCCATCGTCCTCTTGACCCTGACCCGCTCCCCAGCTTTGTGTATAATATTGTCCGCTAGGACCACGTTGTTGGTTCTGCCAAATATAAAATTATTTCAAAATTGTATGGCCAAAATCGTAAGGTGAGTAGCTCAGTAACGTAGTGGATAAGTGCCGCAACCCACGATCTTTGTTGTTAAGCAATTTTCGCAAGGTTCGATCGAGGTATAGGTGACCAAAAAAATATTATCTCGAGATACTCCGTGCTTCGGAAGGCACGTTAAGTCTTTGCTCCCGGCTGCATTTGCAGTCGTTAATACCCTCCAAGCCACATTAGGCCAGCGTGGAGGATCATGGCCCATCCTCCGTAAACATCAATAAGGAAAGCTTGAGCCTCTGAACAGTGGGGAAGTAAAAAGGGCTGATGATGATGAGCCTCTGAACAGTGGGGACGTAAAAAGATGATAGTGAAACACCATCTTACACAAAAAGAGATGTTTGTGAAATAGCCTTTATTATTCAATATATTGTATTTTTACTGGGAAATATGAATCTGTGCACGTATGTCCCTTATAACCTTATAGTTTTGTTGGGTAACTTTACACCCCTGATCTTACCAGATTGTTGTCCCACTGCTGAGTTTGAGGTTCAGGACGCTGTTGATTGTACTGCTGCTGCAATTCGTATTGCTGCCTTTGTTGCTGGTAAGCTGTCATGTAGTGATTGTCTGTGGTACAATTATTATTGATAATTAAAACAATTAAACTTATAATAATAAGGCTGACAACTTTTGTGTCCCCGTCATGTGTAGATTATTAAAGTATATTAAAAACGCATTTTTAATTTTTTTGCGTGATCGAAAAATTAAGACGATATATTATTTTAAATCTTGGCATCTTGGTAAATTGAAGAAAAATAAATTTAACTAATATTTTCTTACCGACTGGCGGACTGAATATAATTTTTTTTTACCTACGTATTATCCCTATTGATTCAAAACAGAGTATTGATTCAGTAGATTCCCTATTGATTCAGTAGACTTTTTTTGGGAATCGAACAGTTAAACGGCAGGCAGGGTTACACTTTCAAACTTAGAGTAAGTCCTGTAGTCATTATAAAGCAGATTAACCTACTGTATGCAGTTTTGTGGATGCTACGATTTAATGAAACGCCATCTCTGGTCGTTCGTGATAAATAATTATATGAATTGTTAGCTAATTTGTTTCACAAAAATTTTTAAATTTTGTATTACATACTTTGTAGTGCGTATATTTATTACAATATGCCTTGTATCTTTTAGCAAGTAAGAATTTAAATTGGTTATACCGATAAAGTTCAGATTAAAACGGAAAAAGGTCGTATCCGGAGCACAATGTCAACACTTAAGGCTAGTTAACTTTTTTAATTTTTAAATAAATTGTCCATTAATACCTGAAAAATAATGTAGAAGCAACAGCGTGTTCGCGATTAATAGTTTCGGAGACAGGGTACTATGTTTGTGGAAGTGCTTGTAGTCCGCTGAAAACGCTTCGTACAAATTCATGGCACTAAGAGACGTCATACGGTGCTACAGTAGCGAAAAACACATGGACACTGGGGCACATGGGCAAATGTGGCAAAAACACATGGGCACTTTTTATAATATCTTTGTTATTTTTTGTAATATTATAGCTGTTATATTAATGTTTATAGCTATTATAATGAAAGTTGTTACGTTTTATGTAATAAATTCAATGTCATATATATTTTCCAAAATGGTAGAATACAATTTATTTTTTTAAATTTATAAGCGAATACAGTTCATATTTTCCAGACATATACGAGGGTCAAACTGAAAGTTCTTAGAAAATCAAAAACTGATTACATTAGCCAGTTATTAGTTTTATTATATCTTTTCAAAATATTGTCCATTCACGTCAATACACCGCTGCATGCGATGGAACCACTGGGAAAAGCACTTTGCCCACTCGTCCTTAGGGGTCTCTTCAATGGCATCGCGATACGCAGCCACCGCTTCTTCAGCATTCATAAACCGCTTTCCTTTAAGTTTTTCTTTAATTTTTGGAAATAAATAAAAATCACAAGGCGCGAGGTCGGGGCTATACGGCGGGTGACCCAGTAATTCAACGTTTGATGTCGCCAAATAGTCGATCGTTCGCTTGGCGGTGTGCGACGAGGCGTTGTCGTGGTGAAGGAGGATCCTACTGCGAGGTCGTTTCTCTCGAACTTTTTCCAAGACAAGTGGCAAACAATTGGTAGTGTACCATTCTGCAGAAACTGTTTTTTGATCCTCTAACACAATTGTTGCAAAATGACCTATCCTTCCAAAGAACGAGGCCACCATTTTTTTTCCCGCACTTCGATCTCTCTTCACTTTAGTTGGCAACTCCTCGAAAGGAAACACCCACTGAGCAGATTGTCTTTTGGTTTTAGGATCATAACAGTAAATCCAGCTTTCGTCACCTGTTAGTATGTCGAACACAGCATTTGAGTCACCTCCGTTAAATCTTTCAATCATTTTACGACACCAATCCACACGATGGAGTTTTTGAGCCTCAGTCAAATTATGAGGTATCCACCGGGCGCAAAGCTTCCTGACCGCTAAATGTTCGTGGAGGATTTTGTGCACTTGACTCATACCGATGCCTAAGCTTGTCCGAATCTGTTGATAGGTCACTCTTTTGTCAGTCTCTATCATACGCCGCACAACACAGATGTTATCTTCAGTCGTCGCCGTAGAAGGCCGTCCCTCACGTAAATCATCAGTGAGATTAGTGCGACCACGTTTAAACTCATTAAACCAGTTGTAAACAGTCGCACGAGATGGGGCTTCATCGTGAAAGGCCAATCGTAGTCTATCATAACTTTCTTGTTGACTTAAATGACATCGAAAGTCATAAAAAATCATTGCACGAAAATTTTCTCGTGTTAAATTCATGATGACGTGACACAGACAATTTTCAATTTGCCGCCAAATCGTAAAACAAATGACAAATGAATGAAATATATACTCAGTAATATTGGCAAAGAGTTATATTTTCAAATTTTAGAATTATTTTTTTATTATATTGTTTATAAGTGGCCAGTTCTAAGAACTTTCAGTTTGACCCTCGTATATAAACCTGTATTATCACTTGTAGGACAGAAGCCTAAAACTGCTACATGAATTTTAAAATACATGCCTGTATCAAGCCTTATGGTTTGTTAAATACATAGGACCCTGCTTAAAAGCTATTCTGCGACATCCCAGGACACAAAACAAAAGGTTTTTCAGAAACAACTTACCATTACAGAATAATATTACCTTGATTGAGAGGTGGAACTGGTTCAGGGCTTTTTGGAATGTGGCTACCTTCGAGAATCTAAAAGAAAAAAAAATAAAAATCTAATTTATCAACTTATATTATGTGTATTAGCATAGTATAACAAAAGTTATCTGTCCTGCCGATGTTGTCAACGCAAAAAAATAAATTTGGAATTTAAATTTATAATCGACGAGCCTGGTCAATCAGTATAATCTAAGTTATTCCTTCATTCGTTCATTTAGCAATAGGGAGGACGACAAATTTTTATTTGTTTGTCAGTCAGGTAGATTGTTGGAAAATATTAAACAAGTACTTTTTTTATTATTTCGTAATCATTAAATTATGACGATTATAAATTATCACATGACGTCTCGCTTTTGTACATTTTCTACAAAACTGTGACGTAGTAGCCCCCGCTGATTAACTTTAATGCTTGTTATCTAAACTATTTCTTGTTAAATTGAAGTGAAAAAAAATCGTATCTAATATTTTTCTATCATCTGAATGAAACACTAAATAGAATTTCTTTTTTTTCCCAGTTGTCATCCGAACCGAACGCAAAATAATTGCGTTCGGTATTCATAGAAATTGGTAGTGCTAACGAAGATACATGATGCCATATTTATTAGATTTTACTATTATAATTATCATTTTTTGGGTGATTTGGGTAAATTGTTTACCTGAAATCCTTCCTTGCCGGCACGATATTTGAGTTTAACCAGTTGCCCGCTGGGATCTTTGTATTGGTAAGCGCCGACGCGAGAACCGTCAGGTTCAACGACCTCACCAGCTGACAATCCATTATCCGCTGCGTATTCGAAGCGGAAGCCGCCCTCTAAAATAAAAAAAAATATATATATATATTTTGAGAGTCGAGGAAATAACAATTTATTTGATTAGATATTACAGCCATAATTCGCAGAATACCTCCATAAAATCAACATCGCCTGATACTGCTTTTTTGTAACGTATAAACTTCGGATATATGATACTATATGAAAATAAACCTGAAACTGATAACAAGGAAGTAGATCACAGGGTTTTCAATATGCTAATGTTAAAACAATAATAATTGCACCTCAATGGCGTTTTAATTAATAGCATTTGCACCTGCTTAACTACCTAATGCCAAATATTATCAACACAATGGAGTGCTGATGAATGATGACAGATTTTTGTAATTTTCAGATAATCGGTCAGTTGCACAAACGTCCATTAAGGTTTAATGATGCCTTTAAGCTCTAATGAATGTCAAATTTGTATAGGTAATGTCGCTTTAAACTAATGATAATTTTAATGGACGTTTGTGCAACTGGACGATGGTCCCGTAAATTGCTAATGGCGATAAGATATTTAAAGGATATTTTTAAAACATAAACAAAGGTTATATAATGACATGAGAGACATTAGATATATTTATTATTAGTTAAATTATGTTTACCTTTTGTGAAAATCATAAAAGCAGTTGTTATTTTAGTCAACTATCACAAATAATAAAATTTAACAATACAATCGGAACCAACAAAAATGGTGTGTGTTCTCAACACAACCCTACTCAATAGGAATACTCCTGAACTCGTGTTTATTTTATTAGCAATATGTGGAGATTAACAAGAACTGTGTCATAAAACAGACATTGACATGCCAAAGTATGCAGTCTCGACGGAATTTGCGATCGCAATCTTATCGTATTCGATCGCTAACTAATAAATCGTAAAATACCATTATTGCAAATCTCTACTGTTAAGTATATTTTTACATGTTAGACATGTACTGAGTACACTGTCAAATTAGCGATATTCGTTAGTTTCCTAGCGATCAAGTTTAACAGATCAGTCAGTGAACTCTGCGATTGCTACCAAACGATCGTTAACTTTGTCGAAACTGTAGCTCCAGGTTCCGTTAAGATATTTCGGGAATAAAAAAATTATAGTCTCACCAGCCGTAAGAGCCTGCTTGTGATGAATAATAGACGCTTGTTGCTCCTTCGTCAGTTGCAGCGGGGCTCGCCAAGGTTCTACCTTAGGATAGGCAGGGGCTGGGGCACTATAAGTGGCTGAGCCTATGGGGAAGAAAAAACCTACTATAATATATCATTTGATGGAAGATCCGTAAAGAGCATACAAAAATTATTCGTTGATTTGCGACGGATCATCCTTTGAGTGCGGAAGGTTGAATGTCATATTTGTCAATTCTAACATTTCCGCGGCCGTCGAGGCGGATCAAGCGATACATCTTCCGCCAAATATGCGCCGGCTCGAAGCCCAGCAGCTTCCCGTAACCTTTATAAGATCGTCTGTCAACCCGGGCTTACCCACTGAATATCGCCCGGTACGCGGTCGAAGTTCCAGAATATTTCCGCCCCAACGGCCATTGGTTCTTCTTACTTTGTGTACAACCTACTTCCACTTTATCTGAGCGATTTTTTGAGCAATGACAGTAATGTTGGATTTCCTTCGGATTTCTTCGTTCCTAATACGATCTCGTAGAGAAACACCAAGCATATGCTCCTTTCATTACACGTTGGAGACTTTGAGCCTTCCTTAGACCTTATTATACCTTATTAATACGTAAACTAATTGAATCTAAGCTGTAAATATATGATAAAATGTATTGTTAATAAATGCATTGTGGGTGGAGCTCAAAATCATCTGCGGGTATTCGACACAATATGCTGGCATCCCGACGTGCTACTTTTCTTTGGATGAATGGATATTCTACAATAATATAAAGTATTATATACATATCTAACATTACTCATAAAAGTTGTATTTTTTTTCAATATTAATTGATTGACTGAAAATAGCTGTTTTCCCGTGACTTCGCCCACGTAAACTGCAACGTTGACATCGCCTATGTTGTAGCTTCCAGTTTATGAATTTTTAAATCGGTTTTGGAGCCTATCCAATAAATATAAACACTCAATGTTTTTCTCTTTATAATATTAGTATAGAAATTACCCCCCCACGATTCGTGTACTGGCTTCGGTCTCCATGTCTCTTGGCTGGAACCCTGTGTGGCCACATCGTTTCCAGTTGGGGAGAACAACCCTTTCCCGTAAGCTTCCACCTGTAAAGGATAAATCAATTCAATATCTTCGTTGATCGAAATCATCATCATCACAGCTCCAATCATCATCATTATCCTTTTTACGTCCTCAGTGCAGGAGCTCGGTCTTTATTGATGGTTAAGGAACATGGCCCTCCACGCTATCCCAATGCAGCTTGGAGGCTATTAACGACTGCAAATGTAGCCGGGACCAACGGCTTAACGTGTTTCCGAAGCACAGAGTAACTCGAGATAAAAAATTTTGGTCACCCATCTTGTGGCCGGCCCTTGCGAAAGTTGCTTCACAACAAAGATTGCGGGCCGCGGCGTCTATCCACAACGCCACCGAGCTACTCAACATAAGCAAATATTTTTAACCAATACGCGTAGTAATATTCCAATCTATAGTCAAGTAAAATTTATTACTTGAATAAAATAAAATAAACAATATCTCAACGGCATTCTCTGATTTAAGGATACTGGAAATTGAAACCCACAGTTTAAAATGTAGTCGTATTAATAATATTATTATGTTTTTTATTAAATTCGTTAGTTATGTCTGTATATCTTCTATTGGGTACATAACTTAGTCCATCTTGTGTCAGCTAATGCAGCGTCCCACGGGCGAGGTGCAGGCTGGAATAGCGCGGGATTAACCTGCACATCGCCATTCAATAATATAATAACAAAGAACAAGCGCTTGTCATCTCTCTATAAAAATAAAATCAGACTATTAACAATATTGTGACTTTGAATACCACATTCAAAACAAAAAATATAGAGTGAATAAAAAAAAAACGATAATATTATTTATAGACCGTTTTATGTAAAATAAAAGCTTGTAAAATTCTGATTTTATCGACGATTTTGATTAGAAAACAAGTGTATGCATCCACCAACACAAGTCACGCCATTTTAGGGTTATGAGTTACCAACTATAAATTTCGAGAACTAGGATTTGAAATTAGAAAAACCAGGAATCGATGTTCGATATGGAAAAATTCAAAGAGAATTGACCGCAAGCGCCTTTTACCATCGCTAGCGAAACGTTCGTACTTTATAGAGGTTTGTAGTTTGCGTCATTTTAATATATTATTGATATTTTGAGAACGTAAGAACTCTCGTTGCTTAAAAACTCTCCAGACTTTACAGTACACTCCAAAAACCATTATATGTTTAGGAAAACAGTACAGTTTACATCCCTAAGGAATTTGCTCATTATCCTAAAATAATCGAGTTTGCCAATTTTATGTATTTGTAATACTATATTGACATTTATTTGAAGTACCTAATTTAACTTCAAAAATATTTTCCTTTTATTAATTGAATAATTCCTTAATCTAGTTTTATATACGCTACTTTTTATTCTGATACCAGGTGGACGAAAGGTAATTGATTAATTGAAATTCCCGGTAGGCATTTTTCCTTGACTTGTCATAACAGCTGACTGAGCAGACATCTGGGCCAGTTGCTTAAGTCAATAATAACAGCATGCCAGCCTAATTGAGTGGCTCAAATAATTACGATATCTGAACCGTAACACAATGTACACATGACTGCATGTCGAATTTCTTCGATTGATTTTGAATTCCACCCACAATTATTTAAAGATTGAACTTATGTTGCGTAATTTGTTAGTTTTGTATAAGCCGGCGTGCTGTTGACTGTACATAATACGACGTACAGTTTAAATAAAAGGTTTTATTACGAGCGCTCTATATCACAAGCTTGAATTGTCACCACAAGCAGAAAGTTGATTGGCAGAAAATAGTCACAGCTTTAATACTTTTATATAAAGCTTTAAATATTGAAAAAAAAATAGGAGAACATAATATTATAATTAATCCCTCTAAATGAGAGTCAAGCACAGTAAAAATTATTTTGATACTGTTTAGGTTTCGATATCAATCTCAAAAGGAAAAAGAACTTTTAAAAAATTAGTCGCGTGTTTGTCCATCTGCATCTATTACAGCTAATGGCTCATCCACACGAATTCAATTTGTTGTAGATTTAACTGTGCAATCCGTTTATACAATTTTTTCAAACGTGGAGACAAAAATTGGCTCAGACTTTTTGGTTGTTGCTATCAATAGTAGGTACTTATTATATTTCTGTGATCGTATGCACTACGGATATTCGATAAACTATCCAAACCGCCTGTGTGTGGACCAGTCTTAATTTCGATACACTCATCGAATGCACTTTTGACGTCGTTTTACAAATGGAAATGTAATAATTAACTTTGTAACAGATGTCTGTTATAATAATGCTTTTAATATTAGCAAAAAGTATGATATGCTAAACTTTTTGCCCACGCGAGTTAAATTAAAAATTAAAACTACGTCGTCTGGTCCACGAACGACATTTCGGAAAATTTATCCATAAATATTATCTGTACATCAAATGCAGTGTCGATAACATCCGTTGCATCATAAATTAACCAAAAATGCGTTTTTTTGGAGACGTATTATTGTTTCAAAAATAGACGAAATTTAATTTTCGGATCATACTTCCTCTTACTTTTTGGACATTGAAAAATTATCAAGCTATTCTTTTCAACGCTAAGGTAAGTTCTCTTTCGAATGAACCAATCAATTCGGGGAGATTTAATATTAAAAAATAAAAAGTGAAAATGTAAGAGACTTACGTTTTGTTTGAACGTCTGTGGACCATAATAATCACTTTGAGCACGCACCGCCGCCACCAGAACACACCAAAAACAGATCAACTACAAAAGAAAACAATATGATACATTCAAGTTAAAATTATATATTATACGGAAAGAACCGATATTCAAATACAATGTCTAAATTATAAGAGGTATACATATAAACCATAATAGTGCACTTAAAAAAATAAACATTAAAAGAAAATACCTACTCATCGTATAACCTATTTGCTGTTTTTATTTTTTTAATTACAAATTTCACGCACGGTAAATAAAAAAAAGAAAATTAAAAAAGATAATACCTACTTATCGTATAACCTATTTGCTATTTTTATTTTCTTAATTACAAATTTCCCGCGCGCCAAATAAAAAAAAAAGAAAATTAAAAATACATGCCCGCATTCTTCTGTTGTTACTTGAAGCACTTTTCACATCCAAAGGAAAACTTACAATACTACGATATTACGAAACGTGGTTCTATATATGTATACGTTGCAACTTGCAATGGACCGTTGGACCGGGACGAAACTGGTCCAATCAAAGAGGGCAGGAGGATGTTACCTACATTTACTTGTCTTTTGACTACTTATTTATTTATATTGCTAAATCATTACATCTATACTTATATTAAAGACGAAAGATAATTGTTTCTTTACATTGAACAGTTTCCGAAACTATTGATCAAATTTTCAATATTCTTTTATTTACAGGAAGCTGCATCATACGCGGGTCACCATATACTATAATTAACGCGAGGGAAATCGCGAGAAAACAGAAGCAGCATACTTACTATACTATCATCATCAGCCCTTTTACGTCTCCACAGCAGGGCCTCGGGCATTATGGATGATTAAGGAGGATGGGGCATGACCCTCCACGCTGACCCAATGCAAAATGCAGCAGGAATCAACGACTTAACATGCCTTCCAAAGCACGGAGCAGCTTGAGATAATAGTTTTTGCTCACTCATCCCGTGACCGACCCTTGCGAAAGTTGCCTAACAACAATGATCGCAGGCCACGGCACTCATCGACGACGCCACTTACTACGCTACTATACTATATAGTACAAAAAAAATTGGCAAAGGCAAGTGGACTCGCGCACGAACGAATCCGTAACATTATCTATAAGAAACGCAAAAAAAAACATTTGTTGTATGGTACCCCCCTTAATTTATTTTATTCTGGTTTTAACTAATTAAAACCAGAATAAATAAATTAATAGGCATACCTACATAGTTTGTGAGAATTTCAAGTATCTAGCTGTCACGGTTCATGAGATATAGCCTGGTGACGGACGGATAGTGGAATCTTGTTTCAATTTATCGGATCGGTGTTATAAATTGTAGATCGAGCTCTGGCAACATTCTCACCGCCAGCACTTATTATTATGGCGTCGATTGCGATAACTTGTGTGCTAACCTATGTTACCTATAATTAAGAAATAATATGTCGAACCTCGCTGATGATTATAATAAAACACCAAGTGCATTATATCAGGCCGTTTAATTTATGCCACCACCACGCGTGTTATGTGAGGTGCGACAAACTGGCGACGAGTATTAAAGAAACAAGGTGGACATTTTGTTTAAGAAGGAAGTGGGCTTGTTGGTTACGTACAACAAGTCTAATCAAAGTAAGTGGATTTATTAACTATCTGTTATTCCTCGTTGTTACGTCTACGAGTTTATCATGGCAGAAGCAGATCAGCAACAGGTGTACCAATTAGTTACACCCGCCAACGTACAAATGCCACCATTTGATGCAAGTAAATGCACGTGGAAAGTATATACACAAGTTTTTAAAAATAAGATGGTAGTTCACGACATCGATCAAGAAAAATGGGCCAGCTACCTAATCAGTTATGTAGGTTTTGAAATAGTCACATTGTTAAGCGAGTTATGTTACCCTGAAAACATTGAAAATAAAGATTACGATTATTTAGTGACTAAAGTAGACAATCATTTAGAACCTGCACCTTCAGAAATAGCAAAGACTTGCAATTTTAATAATTATTTAGACCGAGCATTACGAGATAAATTCGTCCACGGATTAAATAACCAATCAATCATTAAAAGGTTATTTTCAGAAAAAGAGTTAAATTTTCAAAAAGCTGTTAGCATTGCTACTAATTTAGAGTTAGCAGAAAAAGGGTCTAAGTTGATCACTGAAAATAAAAATGACAATGTTAATGAGCAAGTCAATGAAACAAATGTTATAAAAAATAAAATGACAAATCATTTGTTTATGTTGGTTTATAGAATACTTTATTTGCTTCCGTTTCCTGGTGTTGCCACCTCACAGACTAATATGAAGTATTAGATACAATGTCACACATCTTCCAATCTTACAAGAAAAACGATAATAGTCTTATAACAGTTAAAATTGCAGTCCTTGAGTATTCTTCTTCTTCTTCTTTTTAATTATTGGCGTTTCCCTTTTGGATTTCGCCAAAATCCAGTGTTTTGCTCAGTTTAGTTATGCTTCTAATATAAACTCTATAGACTCTGCTTTATATGAAGTGTAGTGAAAGCATACGTTGATTTTGAATTTTGGTTAATATTTGGAGCTGTTGTTTTACCTGTAAGAGACGGACACAATATATATAGAACAGTTGTTAGTAAATAGGGACAAACTGATCATAATCGTATGTTATTACTGTTTATATAATTACACAACACATTGACAAAGGGGGAATTAGTATATCTTAATAGAGTTTTAAAATTCGTGGGTTTAGGAATATATTCTGGGAGAACATCATATAAGGAGCCTGGGTATTTCGGACAATTAAAAAAGATGTGGTCAACTGTTCCTTCGTCCAACCCGCACTCACATAACGAGCTGTCTTTGACTTTAATTTTCGCTAGAAAGACGGGGGTGTTTACGTGTCCTAATCTAAGCCGACAAATAGTGGACGTGCACAATTTAGACAAGTTCTTAAACTTGCAAAACCAAGGTTTAACCGGTATGGTATCTTGGATATCGGCATAATGTTTTCCCACTGTGTTACTTGATGCTTTCCATTGAACACTCCACGAACAAAGAAAACGTTTTGTTGCCAAAGGGAAGAGATCTTGTGAGAATATTTCAGGATAGGCGGGGTTTCCATTCTTAGCGGCTTCCTTCGCAATCAGATCAACTGTCTCGTTACCGACTATTCCAGAATGTCCTGGAATCCAGGCTAACAGAACTCTTACCTTTTTAGCATGACATTTATATAAGATATTTCTTACTTTTAGGATGCAAGGATGATTGGTTTTATTACGGAAGGGGTTGGATAAGATTGCCTGGAGGCAACTTTTGGAGTCTGAAAAAATGATGGTTTTATCAAGGTTATGAGATTCTATATATGTGAGGGCCTCGAGTATAGCTATTGCTTCCCCAGTAAAAATTGATGAATCAGAAGGACATTTGAAGTTAAGAATAATTTTGTATTTGGGGATCCAAACAGCCGAACCAATATCATGTTCATCACGGAGTTTTGATGAGTCAGTATACATCAAAAGCCAGTCTGGCCAATGTTTGTTAATCCAATTTTGTAGTAGCTCTTCTGCTTTAGGAGAATCTTTAAAAATGCCTATATCTAATAAAATGTTAGGAGGGTACACGAGAGAGTTAAAAGGGATATTAAATAATGGCAAAATTGCACACTGATAGACAGGATTGGGGAGCCTGAGGAAGATGAGGAAACTACGGAATAACAAAGGTATGGTTTTGTGTTTCCAAAATTTATCATCAGATATAAATTCCGAAAGTAAATGTAATTTGGCTACAAGAGGATGATTTGTCTTTTGTATAATTTTGAATAAAAATCTGTCTGCTAAATATTGTCTTCTAACATTCAAAGGGGGTTCCGAACATTCCACCTGTAAAGCATTGGTAGGTGAGGATTTTTTGGCTCCCGTAATTATACGGAGGCACTTGGACTGAATCTTATCAAGTCCTTTTAAAGATGTTTTCAGGCATGGTTCCAGCAGAAAAGAAGCATAGTCTAAGTGACTTCGAATCAAGGCATTGTAGAGGAGTTTCTGGCAAAAGGGGTGGGCTCCCCACCATACACCAGACACAGATCTGATAATATTTATATTTTTTTCACACTTCTTAGTGGTATGAGCAATGTGGTGGTATCCTGTCATTTTGGAGTCGAGGACAACTCCAAGGAACTTCACTTGGTTTTTGACAGGGATCGGTTGATCAGCATATTTGACTTGGATGTTAGGGGAGTGTCTTGCGCGTGTAAAAATAACCATATTACTCTTATCCACCGACAATGAGAGACCATGATCAGTTAACCAGTTGTGTAAATAGAACATAGCTGTGTTGAGTCGAGACGTTGAGGTATCGATGTTGCTATCAGAAATATACAAGCATAAGTCGTCAGCATATTGGAGAACATTACAGAATGAGTTAAGGGTCAGTTCAAGGTCGTATGTGTACAAACTATATAAAATGGGACTTAAAACCGAACCTTGGGGAAGGCCTTTCCATACCGTTCGTGGAGGTAGAAGAGAATTTCTTAAACATATCTGGATAGAGCGTGCCGATAGAAGATTAAAAATTATATTGACTAGCCTCACGGGGATACTCAGCTGAAGCAATTTTTGCCTGAGTAGTGGAAGCAAGACATTATCGTACGCTGATGAAACATCTAGAAAGACACCTATAATATTCTCCTTTTTTGATAGTCCAACCCATATATCTGTAATGAATATACTCAGACTGTCCATTGTACTCATGCCCTTCCTGAAACCAAACTGACTTTTAGGTAGGAGATTCCTACTTTCTACAAACCACTCAATTCTATTTTTAATAAGATGTTCAAAGATTTTGGCCATAGTACAGGATAAAGCAATTGGTCTATATCCATTTGGGTCATTGCTGAGTTTCCCAGGTTTTAATATGGGGATAATAACTTGACTTTTCCATTCGTCCGGGGGGATGCTTGTCAAAAAAATATTATTAAGAATATTTAAAAACAGGTCCCTAGTTGAGGCATTGCTGTTAACTATTAGAGAGTATGGAATCCCGTCAATACCCGGCGATGAGTCCTTAAGGCCGTCTAAAGCTGTTGAGAGTTCATCTCTCGAGAACGGAGCATCGAATTCAGTTAGTAAAGGAAGTGAGGGAATTATAGAGATAGGAACTTCATTGCTTGTAGGAACAAATGGAGGTGCTAATTTATGCTGAAATGGGTCAAGCCATTGTGAAGTATTATTTGTAGTAAAATTGCTTGTATCGATCATAGCTTTGCGAAATCTTTTTATATTATTCCAGACCATAGAAGGTGGTGATCTAGGAGATATGGATTCACAGAATCTATGCCAGCCAATCCTTTTTTTTTGTGCTAACATTTTGACCGCTTTTGCAGCCGCAGCCCGATATTTTATATAATTAGAAATAGTCATGGATGCTGCATAGGACTTTTCAGCAGCTTTTCGGTTTTTGCAGACTAAAGTACATTCGGAATCCCACCATGGTGGAGAAAGAGGTTTACCTTTAAAGGAATTTTTAACAGGGATGGACTTGTCTGCCGCAGATAATATGCAATTTTTAAAATCACTGTAGACAGATAGGTAATTATTACTATTAACTGTGGGAATGTTTTTTATTTCTGATTCTAAATTATTTTTGTAAACAGCCCAGTCCGCTTTTGCAAAGTTATATTTAAGTTGGGAACGGGGGATAGTTTGGACATTCACACTATCAGTACGTAACTCAGGCATCAAAATGACAATTGGGAAATGATCACTTCCATGGGTAACTGGGAGAATTGTCCAAGTAAGCAGAGAAGCAAGGGATGGAGTACATAAGGATAAATCCACAGCACTAGCAATATTTTGTGTCGGGGAAACCCTACGTGTAGGTGACCCGTCATTTAAAATGCAGAGGTCAAAGTTATCACAAATGTCCAGAAGGTGAGGAGCCAGATAATCACAATAATATGAACCCCAGGATGTGTGGTGTATGTTAAAATCTCCTAAAACAATAAAGGGTTGAGTAAGTGATGTTAGAATATTAGATAACTCAGCAAGGTGTTCAAGTTTTGGATGGGGGATGTATACTGAAACATATGTAACATCTACAACCTTGACAGCCACAATGTTAATATTTTCACTATGGGAAGGGAGTGTTACAAGAGAGAATGTTAAGGATCTTGAAACCAGGAGGGCAGCTCCTCCATATCCATCGTTTCTGTCATCCCGGAAACATGCAAATCCTGGAATACGAAAATTTACACCAGGTTTAAGCATCGTTTCCTGCAGGGCAAAAACAATAGGAGAGAATTTATTTACGAAATACAGGAGTTCATTTATTTTCATTTTACTGCTGCGACAGTTCCATTGGACGATTGGAGCCATTAGGACATGCAAGTGTAAGGAGCTGAGACAGTTGATCTCTGATATTGTTCGGTAGGCCTATGTCACTAAAACGGCCGAGAAGATTAATAATTGTTGACAGTAATAAGGATATTAAATTATCATTTGGTACAGGTGGTTCACTTGGGTAAGCACATCCATTGGATAATTGGGACCTAGGATTCTTAGTGATGTTACTGTGATCCTGGTGATTATATCCTGGACTTGAAGCAGGAGTGGGATGGTGTCTAGGTAATGATACTGTTTTACGGTAAGAGGTTGTAGGTGGAGTAATGGGTGTTGAATTGGGGGATAAATAGTGCAGGGAGGGGGGTGTGGATTGGATGTTAACTTCACACCGTGCAGCATCAGCAAAAGACCTCCTGACCTGTGCAAACCTAACAGATGCTTCAGTGTAAGAAATATTCTCTTGTGACATAACAAGTTTTATTTGTTTTTGTCGGGATTGTTCAGGGCAAGATGGATCTGTAGCCTTATGCTGACCGGAGCAAAATAAACATGTTGGTATGTCTCTAGAACATGTAAAACCTTCATGAGAACCTGCACATATGAAGCAGCGTGGCTGTGATCTGCACTGCGTTTGGATATGCCCAAATCTACAACATTTATTACACTGGATTGTTGGGAGGACATATGTTTCTACGGGAAGAGATGTATAAAAACAGTAGACACAAGAGGGTAAATTTTGTCCTAAGAATGTCACTACTATTGTCTGAGTGGGGACCCATTCAGGTGAATTATTAACAAAAGTTTTCCTACATAGTCTTCGTGCTTTTATGATTTGTCCATGGCCAGTAGGTATCTCCAGAGCTTCAACTAATTCCTCCAGGGTCCAGTCTACAGGAACTTGACGAATCACACCCATTCTTGTGACGCTGAAACTGGGAATAATTGCCTCATACTTAGCAGCAATGAGGGCAGAGTGTTCAAGGAAAGCATTAGCATCAACATAATTTTTGAATTCGACGGAGATTCTGTTTCTGCCGATTCGCTTAATACCGTCCTTAACAATGTTTTTAATTTTATTATTGAATAGGAAGTGTCCGAATTTAATAGGGCGTAGTACAGAGCCTGAGCTGGGTTCTGAGATTTTTTTACTGACATGGACAACAAAAGGGGCAAGGTCTTGGTCCGAATATTTTGGTTTATTATCAACAAACTGAGGATTGACGTAAGTGGTTTGAATTGAAGGATTTGACTGGGAAGTGTTTGTCTTTTTAGCGGGTGATGAAGTGACTTGATCTTCAATTACGCGTTTTCTGGATGTAGCACTACTTACTTCAATCTCCATCTGCGAGAATACAGGAGGTGATGATTGAGCACATGGCTCGTTATCACCCCCTCCGGGGTCCGGAGGATCAGACATTTACACAACACAAAATATACTCACGTATAACAATTTGATTAATCCACCACCAATTTAAGTTAAAATTAACACACAGGATACGGGAAAAAAGGAAAACAGCCACAAATAACACGGAAAATATGCCAACAATCGTTGCTAGCACAAAACCACAGAGCAGAGTCCCTCCTTGAGTATTAGCATGTTACATCACTATTTGACATTTGCTTATGACGTTTGACATTCTGATTTCTAGCTGTCAATCTAAATGTAAACAAAAGAGTACTTGCTTTCTACACACAGAATTAAATTAGATAAAGTTTATGAAATTACAATGTTAATACAGATTTAAATGGAGTGTGATATTACACAAATCTATAAATACGATTTCTAGTATTAAGTATAGAACGTTAATAAACAAAGAATGATAACAATGAACAAGTGTACTGAATTGAATGTAGACATTATTTTTTTTATAAGAAATATTAAAGAATTTCTAGTACAAATGTGTTATTAATTGCCTAACAAGTTAAACTATGAACACTTTTACACTTATTATCACAAAAATGAAATCAAAGATTTTTATTTAACACTGATTAACACTTCTTTTTGCACAAACACTTTTGTGGTGGTTTGACTTGTCTTCCAGATTTGGTGATGATTACTTCTTTATCCTTCTCTGGAGTGAAATCAATGCTTGTTGTGGAGGGTTCAGGGGTGTATCTGCTCGATGGAGTTGATTGTTCTGTAGGTGTCCGAGAGTTATGCGTGGATGTGCTCATTATGATTTCCTCTGAAGGCGTGGATGGTCTACCTTCTAGTGTCCAGTCTTGAAAAGCTGGGTTGTCACTTCTATCCTGTTCTAGATACTGAGTGGATTGTGGTTGCTGATGAGATTCTTCAGTGTCTAGTAGGCTCTCATGTGAGTGCTGTTGTTTATCTGTAACAATTTTTATAAGTTGATCTGGCTGAGGTGAGGGTTGAGGATTTGGAGGGGAAGAGGTTGTTGGGTAGGCAGGAATAGGCATGTTCTGTGTCTTGTACTTGAATGTTTGGTTGGGTACTTCAATGATTGCTCTTCTATTCTTTCTTATTTCACTTCCTTTGTCTGTCAGTATGGAGTAGCTGCGAGGCTCCTTTCTCTTTCCAGTGACTGTGCCGTATGTATCATCATCTGGTATAAATACTCTTTGTCCTCTCTCTAGTTCTGGTAGTTCTTTGACTTTGTGTCTTTGATCATGTATTTCTTTAGCTTTTTCTCTTCTTTTCAGCAGTTTTTCTCTGTATAGTGCCAATTCTTGCACTTTGGGTTTTAGTGCTGAAGTTGTCATTGGTATTGTTGTGTTTAACAATCTTGACATAGCTATCTGTGCTGGTGCTAGTCCTAATTGGTTGGTGGTTGTTCTGTAATGTAGTAGTCCAAGAAGGGGATCTTCTGGGTTTCTTTCAAATATGTTTTTGATTATTTTTACTCCTATTTCTGCGGCTCCATTGCTTTGTGGAAAATGGGGGCTTGATGTGATGTGAGTGAAATCCCATTTCTTAGCAAATTCTTCAAAGTGTTTTGATGAAAATTGTGGGCCATTGTCAGTTCTCAAGATCCTCGGGATGCCATGTCTAGCCATTATAGTTTTTAGGTGATTGACTATCGCTATGGATGTTGTGGAGGTTAGTGTAACCACCTCAGGGTAGTTTGATAGTACATCTCTAACTACAAGGTATTCTTTGCCTCTATATGTGCATAGATCAGCAGCTATAATTTCAAAAGGATAATCTGGGATTTCTCCGCTAATCAGTGGTTCTGGTCTTTGTGTAGTTAATTTAGAGCAGATTTCACATTTAGTTGTCCATTGGACTATGTCATTTTCTATGGTAGGCCACCACACTGCATGTTTGGCTCGTAGTTGGGCTTTGAAGCTTGTAACATGTCCAGTATGGAGTCTCATAAGTATTTCCTCTTTCATGATTGCAGGAATGTATAATTTATTTCCGCAGGCTATCACATTGTTGAGTAGTATCAAGTCATTTCTGTATTTCATGAAAGGTTTCATTTCTTCTTCTATGTCTTTATAGCTGGGCCAACCATTCATTATGTAGTTGTATAGTTTTTTACATATGCTGTCGTTTTGTTGCACTTCTTTTATTTTATTCAGGCGCTCATTGGAGAAAGGCATTTCTGTTCTTAAACTGAGAAGTGTTATCTCATCCAGCTTGTCTTCTTTATTGAGAATTTCTCTGTCCTCTTCTAGTGGTGTTCTGGACAACATGTCTGCTGTATACATGTACTTTCCGGGAACATGTTCTATATTATAATGAAATGGAGTCATTCTTATTCTGAACCTTTGGAGTCTTGTTGGTAGATCTGCTATAGGTTTAGTTCCAAGTATGGAAACTAGAGGTTTGTGGTCCGTGCGTATGGTGAATTTAGGAAGACCTAAAAGGTATAATTTTAATCTTTCACAGGCCATGGTAGTAGCACATGCTTCTTTTTCAATTATGGCATACCGTTGTTGAGCTGCTGTGAATGTTGATGACCAAAAATGTACAGGTTTCCATTCATTACCATGTTTCTGTTCTAACAAAGCTCCCATCCCATGTTTTGATGCATCAGCTGAGACTCTGGTTTCTAGGTTAGGGTTATAGTGTGCTAACTGTGGAGCAGTGGTTAGCAATTTTTTTATTTGCTGGAATGATTGAGTGTGTTCATCATTCCATTTCCTCGGAGATTCTTTTCTCAGTAAATCACGGAGAGGTTTTGTTATTTCTGCTGTGTTATTAAGAAATCTGAGGTGTTGGTTAACGGCTCCCATAAAGCTTCTTAATGCTGTTAAATTCCTGGGTATAGGTAGATTAACAATAGCTTTTATCTTATCTTGTAGAGGTTGTATCCCATTTCCAGTGATTTTATATCCTAAAAATGTGCATTCCTTTGTCCTGAAAACACATTTGTTACGGTTTAGGGTTACTCCTCCCTTATATAGAGCTTTAAGGACTTCTCTCAAGTTTTTGTCATGTTCTTCTTCTGTTTTTCCATAGACAAGGGTGTCATCTACATGATTCACACAGCCTTTGATACCCGATAGTAAAAATGCCATTTTACGTTGGAAAACTTCACTTGATGAGTTCATTCCCATGGGCATTCTGTTGAAACGGTACCTACCGAATGGGGTAATGAATGTTGTGAGGTCCTTACAGTCATCAGTTAGTTGCACTTGAAAGTAGCTTTTCACTGCATCAATTTTGGAGAATACTTTGGATTCAGAAAGCTGTGCTAAGCATTCTTCAACGGTTGGTAGTGGGTGATATTCTCTCATCACTGCTTTGTTTAATTCAGTATAGTCCACTGTGATTCTTACTTTATCAGTGTCATTTTTATCAGGTACTGGCACCATTGGAGCGCACCATTCTGTTGCATGTGAGACTGGTTCAATAACTCCCATGTTCTGTAGATTTTCCAATGTTTTTTGTACTTTAGGCCGAATCGGTATGGAGATATGTCGAGGTGCAGTGACTGCATATGGTGTAGCATGACTTTTCAGTTTTATTTTGTACCTCCCTTCCATAGTTCCAAGACCTTTGAATATTCCTTGATATTCTTCTTCAGGTATAGTATTAGATGAGGTTTTTATTTGCATTATTTGGGTTTTTTCATGCCACTTTATAATACCAAAAGAATCACATTCTCTTAAGCCAAGTAGTGGTGTGTGTTGACCTTCTAGTATGTAGATGTCTGTTGGTTTTGTCATACCTTGCCATGTCATTTTTATATTTTTGCATACTCCTCGCCCTGGTAGTGGTATTCCACATGGTCCAAAAAGATTTTCATTAACAGGTACAGGCCTAGGCAGTTTTAGTTCAATCCTTAATTCAGGACTTATTACAGTTTCAGATGCGCCTGTGTCAATTTTAAACTTTGTCTTTTGACCGTTGATAATGATCATAGCAAATTTAGACTGGATGCTAGGTTTGTTGATGGAGTCTATGATCTTTTTCTTTGAGCTTTCGATGCTACCAATGAAAAAATCTTCTTCAACTATTTCGTTGACATTTTTCCAGTCTTTTTTCTTTATTTCATTCTTCTTTTTGCATACAGCAATCCAATGACCTCGTATACCACATCCTTTACACACTGATTTTGCTGCTTCACATTCAGAAAATTTGTGTCTTGGTGTTTTTCCACACTTTCTACAACAATCTTGTGTGTTTGATGGTCGTTTGATTTTATTAAAAGATTTTATTGGGTTTTTGGTCAAATTATGAATTTCTGGCACTAATTGTGAACTGTTTAGTGCTGACATGTTGGCGTCAACTGTTTCTGCATGTCTTACCCTATTGATTACTGTTTCTAATTTAGGTTCTTCTTCTAGGTTTTGAAGAGCTTTGGACAGTTCCAGGTTTTTCATGCCGGCTACAATTCGGTCTCTGATTAATTCATCTTCTAGTGCCCCATATTCGCATTTTTTTGCTAGGTTGTGGAGATCTGTGATGAATTCATCCACGTTCTCGTCTTCTTTTTGCATTCGTTGATTGAAGCGTGCTCTTGCATACATTTTTGTTTTTCTTGTAGTGTAGTACGAATCGAACCTATTTTTCACTACTTCATAGGACTTCATATCTTCTGGGCTTAGTTTCATTGACGTTAGTATGTTGTTTGCCTGGTCACCCATTAGATATAAGAAGGAATTTACTTGCGTCTCGCTTGCTAAAAGTTTAAGACGAGTGGATTCTCGGTATTGTTCAAATCTTGTGATCCAGTTTTGCCAATCTACGGCTTTGAATGAGAATTGTTGTGGCGGTGGTGTACTCATGCCAGGTAGATTTGCTGTTTCAGTAGAGTTTGGTACTGACTGTGACTGACTTTGGGTTAGTATTTGTTCCTGCAGTCTTTGTATCAGCGTCATTTGTGCTTCCAGTTGTTTTTTTAGCTCTTCCATGGCTAGAATTCGTTGTTTTATTAGAATTTGCACGGAATTTATGCGGATTTATGCGGATTTCTTTTTTGGAAGAAAATTTACACGCTGTCA